GTTGGCCCTTTTCAAGAACTAAAATCTTCATTATATCAAAATTCAGGCATTCACCTCTATCAATAAGTGATCTCGACAATATCCCTAATTCTTTTAATGACATGGTGTTGAAAAGCAACATACGGCAAACAGTAATTTTTGTGCACTCTGAATAAATCTGTAGTAAAATGGTAGACATCATTTTTGCAAAAGAAAAAAAATAAACAAAAAATAAGAATTCAGCTTGTCAAGGTAAATAATTCATATCTAAATGAACATTATGAGTCTGTTGTCATGTGACCTTAACAATTGAAAATCTGCCTATTATGCAAGCTCGCTTAAAGACCAATATAATGAGTCGATCCAGTCTCAAATAAAGCAGTATTTGTTTCTCTTTTATACAAGTTCACCTACACTGTGAACATTACATTCAATACATTACTACAGTGTCACAAGTATACAACTATTACATTAAATGATTAAACTAGAAGAAGCAGTCATTTAGAGATTTGAACCCAAGTCCTTCAAATTGTAGACAAATATTAAAACTACTTCATTAACCTCCCACAACACAACCCAATTTTTTACTATACTCTTCCCATAAGGTAAGTTTTGACACAATAAGCTGTATTATCCACAATCCATGGGAGAGCCATAATAGCTCTGCTGGTAGGACATTGACCAATGTAACTTCTGGTGGAGACCGTAGGCGTTTGGTTTGATACACCCTACCTATGGCAGATTCAGGAAGCAAACCAGTCTGTGTTGTTGTGGTAGTGTCCATGGGCAAGACACTTTATCTTGATTGCTCTGGATGGTGTGTGATGGGCCTTCTGTATGTTGTTCAGTGAGATAGCCACCACCTACTAAAATAAGACCACGCCTCTTCATGTCCCTGTCTGTTCACGGAACAATAATCCCAATAAATGAACAATGGCTTGATAACATTTGGCCACATTAAAAGAACAGGGATTATCATAATGCATAAAGTAGCATAATGATAAATTAATTCTGTGTTTGTGGGGTTTTTTTAAATAAATGGCTCTTTGGGGTCATGATCTGGATCAAACTGTTTATTTTACAAATGAACTAGTCATTTTAAATGGATATTACAGTTACAGGACCAGGATTTGCATTCCTTTTGTCTGTAAAGGGTAGGACAAGGATTTACATCCTTAATTTACATCCTAAACCTTTGTAAAGAGAAGAACTAGGATTAACATTCTGTAACTCTTTAAGGAGCAGGAGTAGGATATTCATCCTGGACATCTGTTAAAAACAAAGAGGACTAGGATTTACATCCCAGATGTCTTTAAAGAGCAGGACTAGGATCTACATCCAGAAGTCTTTAAAGAGCAGGACTAAGATTTACATCCCAGAAGTCTTTAAAGAGCAGGACTAGGATTTACATCCCAGAAGTCTTTGAAGAGCAGGACTAGGATTTACATCCCAGAAGTCTTTAAAGAGCAGGACTAGGATTTACATCCCAGAAGTTTTTAAAGAGCAGGACTAAGATTTACATCAAGATGTCTTTAAAGAGCAGGACTAGGATTTACATCCAAAAGTCTTTAAAGGGCAGGACTAGGATTTACATCACAGAAGTCCTTAAAGAGCAGGACTCGGATTTACATCCAGAAATCTTTGAAAAGGAGGACTAGGATTTACATCCCAGAAGTCTTTAAAGAGCAGGACTAAGATTTACATCCAGAAGTCTTTAAAGAGCAGGACTAAGATTTACATCCCAGAAGTCTTTAAAGAGCAGGACTAGGATTTACATCCCAGATGTCTTTAAAGAGCAGGACTAGGATTTACATCACAGAAGTCTTTAAAGAGCAGGACTAGGATTTACATCCCAGATGTCTTTAAAGAGCAGGACTAGGATTTACATCCCAGAAGTCTTTAAAGAGCAGGACTAGGATTTACATCCCATAAGTCTTTAAAGAGCAGGACTAAGATTTACATCCAGAAGTCTTTAAAGAGCAGGACTAGGATTTACATCCCAGATGTCTTTAAAGAGCAGGACTAGGATTTACATCCCAGATGTCTTTAAAGAGCAGGAATAGGATTTACATCCCAGAAGTCTTTAAAGAGCAGGACCAGGATTTACATCCCAGAAGTCTTTAAAAAGCAGGACTAGGATTTACATCCCAGAAGTCTTTAAAGAGCAGGACTAGGATTTACATCCCATAAGTCTTTAAAGAGCAGGACTAAGATTTACATCCAGAAGTCTTTAAAGAGCAGGACTAGGATTTACATCCCAGATGTCTTTAAAGAGCAGGACTAGGATTTACATCCCAGATGTCTTTAAAGAGCAGGACTAGGATTTACATCCCAGAAGTCTTTAAAGAGCAGGACTCGGATTTACATCCCAGATGTCTTTAAAGAGCAGGACTAGGATTTACATCCAGAAGTCTTTGAAGGGCAGGACTAGGATTTACATCACAGAAGTCCTTAAAGAGCAGGACTCAGATTTACATCTCATAAGTCTTTAAAGAGCAGGACTAGGATTTACATCCCAGAAGTCTTTAAAGAACAGGACTAAGATTTACATCCAGAAGTCTTTAAAGAGCAGGACTAGGATTTACATCCCAGAAGTCTTTAAAGAGCAGGACTAAGATTTACATCCCAGATGTCTTTAAAGAGCAGGACTAGGATTTACATCCCAGAAGTCTTTAAAGAGCAGGACTAGGATTTACATCCCAGATGTCTTTAAAGAGCCGGACTAGGATTTACATCACAGAAGTCTTTAAAGAGCAGGACTAGGATTTACATCCCAGATGTCTTTAAAGAGCAGGACTAGGATTTACATCACAGAAATCTTTAAAGAGCAGGACTAAGATTTACATCCTGGGTATCTGTAGTCAGCAGAACAAGAATTCGCATTCCAGACAGCACTTTAAAGATAGCCAAAGTAACTGAACCATATGATTACTGATAAACACCTCTGACCCTCTTTCCTATAAAAGTGTTCTTGTTTCAGTTGTGTAGTATTATCTTGTGTTGATATTGATGAAAAAAAGACCACAAACTTCCTGTTTTTATGTTTTTCTTGAAATAGAGTTAATTTAATGATATATAATTTAAATAACAGAATATCTAATACATTATTTACATTTTAAAAAACTAATCCCAAAACTTTGTAAATTCCCAATAAAAAATAGTTTTCTGTTAAAAATGTGTTATTTTCTCGAACTTCATATTTATTCTGTATTCACTCTACACAGTGGTAATTTAACCATACTATGTGTAACTATAAAAGTGGTAAGTAAACAGCAAATTGTATAAATTTGTACAACTAGTACCTGGTATTGTGTCTACACAGTGGTAAATAAACCATACTTTGTATAACTAGGACCTGATATTCTGTCTAAACAGTGGTAAGTTAACCATACTTTGTATAACTAGGACCTGATATTCTGTCTACACAGTGGTAAGTTAACCATATTTTGTATAACTAGGACCTGGTATTCTGTCAACAAAAAGGTAAGTTTACTATACTTTGTATAACAAGTACCTGGTGTTCTGTCTACACAATGGTAAGTTAACCATACTTTGTATAATTAGAACCATGTATTCTGTCTACACAGTAGTAAGATAACCATACCTTGTATAACTAGGACCTGGTATTCTGTCAACAAAGTGGTAAATTAACTATACTTTGTATAACTAGGACCTGATATTCTGTCTACACAGTGATAAGTTAACCATACTTTGTATAACTAGGACCTGGTATTCTGTCTACACAGTGGTAAGCTAACCATACTTTGTATAACTAGGACCTGGTATTCTGTCTACACAGTGGTAAGTTAACCATACTTTGTATAACTAGGACCTGGTATTCTGTCTACACAGTGGTAAGCTAACCATACTTTGTATAACTAGGACCTGGTATTCTGTCTACACAGTGGTAAGCTAACCATACTTTGTATAACTAGGACATGGTATTCTGTCTACACAGTGGTAAGCTAACCATACTTTGTATAACTAGGACCTGGTATTCACTCTACACAGTGGTAAGTTAACTATACTTTGTATAACTAGGACCTAGTATTCTGTCTACAAAGTGGTAAGTTAACCATACTTTGTATAACTAGGACCTGGTATTCTGTCTACAAAGTGGTAAGTTAACCATACTTTGTATAACTAGGACCTGGTATTCTGTCTACACAGTGGTAAGTTAACCATACTTTGTATAACTAGGACCTGGTGTCCTGTCTACACAGTGGTAAGTTAACCATACTTTGTATAACTAGGACCTGGTGTCCTGTCTACACAGTGGTAAGTTAACCATACTTTGTATAACTAGGACCTGGTGTCCTGTCTACACAGTGGAAAGTTAACCATACTTTGTATAACTAGGACCTGGTGTCCTGTCTACACAGTGGTAAGTTTACTATACTTTGTATAACTAGGACCTTGTATTCTGTCTACACAGTGATAAGTTAACCATACTTTGTATAACTAGGACCTGGTGTCCTGTCTACACAGTGGTAAGTTTACTATACTTTGTATAACTAGGACCTTGTATTCTGTCTACCCAGTGGAAACTATGTTTAAATTATGACTATTCTTCTCTGTACAAAAAGATCTCTTTAGTGTTAAAATTACAGTTATGATACTGTTGTCTAGGAGTTGAGCTATCTAAGAAGATATAAATCCAAAATATTTCTCGGAGTTGAAAAAAAAAGTAAAGATACAGTTCTGGGGAAACCTAAAGAGAGATAACTTCCACTAAAACAGATGTTTTCACGCAGAAATACATTGCTACTCTACTATCTTTCAACCTTTTCTTGTTTTCATTATTCGTTTTCTTTATTTCATTTCCTTTCTACCACAAGTTACATACTTTCATTAGATTTTACATGTGGACATGACGCGGGTAATATTTACACCATCCAAGAACAGATGGAACGTCGTCCCTGATCAAGATTGGTCATTAAAAAACGCTGTTGTAGTTAAGCTAAGCAGAGTTGTCTCCCGTAATAGCACAAGTACGTAATGCACATGCATATCATATTTCATCACAGGAAATACGTTCTGGGGTTCCTCGCTGTAGTGAAACAGGCTCAGTATTCAGCACCGATGCTAAACGATGGCCAGGTTCGTTTGTTTTGTTTTTGTTTTTTTCGACATGTAAAATGCACGTCTTGTTTTTATATAAGGCATCATTCATGCATCATCTGTGCAAGTTGTGTTTAACAGCTTGCTAACTTTAAAATATCACCTTTTGTCATCGCATTCTGCAGCAACAGTATCAGTAGCAACATCCCTTACGGCTGTCAATCGACGTAACATTGTTTGCAGTCATGGGGCTGATATCAATACTTGGACAAAACTGACGACTATTTTTTTTCATGACCACGTGAGCGCGTGACCTCTGAGACTTCGCCGATAGCTCATGCGAGAACTTCGATTAAGGACACCCTAGTCCTAAATATCATTCCAAACAGAACATCTTGTGTTTCCAGTTTTCACATTGACATTAGTTTCATTTGCGGAATTCTTAATTGAATAATTGGAAATATGTTTACAGCTTCGCCGCAGCTCGCACCCGCTCCCAGCTTCTCCCCTACCCGTTTCCACGGTACAGTTTTAAGGATAACTAGACGTTGGTTTCGATTTTTTCTTTTGTACAACTAGAACCTAATCAAAGTCATAACAAATGGTTAATAATATGGTGTTTTTTTAAAGATTGTGAAAATACTACATTCTAAATTGCTTAATGAGATGTGATTTGTGTAAGACATCAGACTTCATATATGAACCTCTCGTGTTTGTGTCATTTTTTAAACAATTAGAACTGATATGTCACTTTCATTTGTATAAAGTAATATTTCCTCTATCATAAATTTGGTGTCTCAAATGTCAAGTGTAGTTACAAATTATTACTATTATGAATATAAATGATGGTGGTGATTTGGAAACTACTTTTTATTCCTCCCATAACACAAAGGTTCCCCCCTACCTCACCATGAAAACTAATCTCATTCACTAACCTGTTGGACGTTCCGTGTATGCTCCATGAGAATAGTCGATAGCTGGTGAAAGATACTGCATTCAACTCGGACATAACAACTTTCCTTATTTCTTTTCAATTCAATCAACAGGGTTTTTTGGTGGTTTTGTTTTTTGTTTTTTGTTTTTTTTTGTTCTCTTTTTGTTTCTGTTTAGCTTGACGGAGCAAGGTTTTAAATTTGCCAGTAAAATTATATGTGATATATGAATTGTAATGACATGGCATAGTAGAACGTAACTATTTTTCACCATTTCTTGGATAGAACATTGAACAAGTTTTCACCTTATTTTAAAAATGGTTTTACTTTCAAATGGGATTGATAATCTGAAAAAAAAATCTTCCTCTGTTTTGCAATTACTTCATCTCTACTTGTATAAATCAATATATGATGTTGTTCCAGTAGTTGTGATATGTTTGCATTCTCATATTGTTTACAACATTAACATATTTAGGTCAATGTTATATAAATCATATTTTCTTGAAATTTTGTCACATTATAATTACTAGTAATATCCTCTCCTTTTCATGACTTTTGAACCCACAGTGTGCTGAGTGCAGTTACCAGTGACAATGTAAGGATCCTCAAGGCTTTGATGAAAGTGCCTCAGTCGCTGAATCAACACGACCTTGAACTTGCGTTTCTACAAGCAGCTAAGCTTGGTCACAATAACTGTCTCGAGTGTATCCTAGCAACAAATTGTGTTGACATAGAAACCAAGGACGGCAGTGACAACACTGCCCTGTATCTGGCAGTTCAAAACAACAAACCCGAAGTTTTAAAACAGCTGATTTCGGCAAAAGCAGATGTCAACACATTTGGAGGTGGCAACAATCGACCAATCCATGTAGCAGCACAAAATGGATTCGAAGAATGTATGAATATTTTGATAAACAATGGAGCAAAGATTAACATAAAAAATTCCAGTGGCAGTACTCCATTGATTTTAGCAAGCAGAAAAAGCCATCATACTATCATGCAGCTGTTGATCACAGCTGGCTGTGATGTCAACATTCAGAACAAGGAGGGGTGCTCAGCTTTACACTACAGCAGTCATAAAGCCATGGGTGTTGACATGTTACTAAGAGCAGGAGCCAACCCTAATGTTACAGACAAAGATAACATAACTCCTCTTGTAATGGCTGCCACAGAAGGGTTTGACAATGTCATTAAGGCTCTTTGTAGGGCAAACTGTGATGTCAACATAGCAAACGCTTCCGTCAACAAGACTGCTCTTCATATCCTTGCTTATAAAGGTCATTCTGATTGTATCAATGACCTTGTGATCGCCGGTGGTGATGTTAACATGTACGATAAACATAAACGCACTCCGTTATGGTATGCTATAAAAAATAAACGAATTGAAGTGGTTCGACTTCTCCTGAAGGCCAATTCACTTGCAGACAGTTTCCAGTGTGCCACTTTTGTAGAGGCTGAATGCTGTCCTACGTTCCTAGCTCTAACATTAGGTTTATTCTCTGTCCTAAAACTCTTCATCATGACCGGTTATGATCGCCACCACCTGAAAAGCTACCTCAGACACGAAGACATTAAGGAGATGTTTGAGGACTGGGAGGACATTGAAGATTGGCTGGAACATGCTCAAGATTCCACCATGACCCTGAAGCAGATTTGTCGAAAATGGATTAGGCACCATCTGGGTCTACAGTTCTATCATGGACTTTCTGAATTACCAATCCCATCTTCTATGAAAGATTATGTATTCATGAAAGAACTTGATGAGGAACATGTTTAGTCAAATGAAAGCAATGGTATGTTTTGTTGCCTGCCAAAGAACTTGAAAGATGAAAATGAATTCCTATTTCTTATTTGGGCAACAGCCCATGTTATCTAAAGAATGATGGTGGTTTCATCCTACAGAAATGTGACATTTCCCCGGGTTACAATATATTTGTATTTCTATATACCTGTAGTGTGATAAGACATCCCAATGGCAGTGAACGATTATAACCTACATGGCAAATGTCCATGAAATAAAGTATTCAGGATTTTTTGTTTTGTTTTTATTTTTCACCTTGAAGATGATCAGAAGATCAAAGATATTCTTGAATGATTAAAGGAAACCTTTGTTTTGTACAGGAAAAGAACCATGCAGGGAAATGAATATTTCCATACCTCTTGATGGAAATTGGAAGGAGGTATTTCATTGACCCAGACTTGTCCAAAAATTTGGGTTTTCAATATTTTACAGGGGTACACTTCACTACATCATCGACATTTTCCAACTTCTATACCAGAGCAAGTTTTTACAATTAATTCAATTTTAAATATCAATTTGGCATCTTTCAGGTGGTATTTGACTACTGTAATTTTCAACTTTTTATCACAAACAAGTTTATCAAAATTTGGTTATGAATTGTCTCTTTTTCTCTCATGATACATTATAAAAGGTTGAGAAGAGATGATGAAATTTTCTGCCCCTTTTTGAAAAAGAAATGTTGAAGTATTTCAGTGAATCTTTCGTCGTCATTGCTGGTGAAATGAAATTTTGTCGCATTTTATCAAAGTTACTCTTCAAAAACTTAATTTTGTTATTTTCATCATCACAGTAAATATCCTGCAGTTTGGGTATAGATAATAACCAGTTAACTCGATATACAACACAATAAAATCACAGTTTTATTATTTCTTTGTAATGATCATGTTTAAAATGAAAATATTTTGAATACACAAAATTTCAAAATACATAACCACTTTTCAACAATGTGATGTATTTCCATCTATATTACATATGTACACCTGTCCTCTCAGAAGAATTATAATACACTTTGTACAATTCCAGTTGCACCCCATTCTCAGATCTAATCTCTCAATCCAAACATTCATTACATAAAAATGATCTTCTAGCGGTTATTCTGAATTCTCCCACTTCAATATCGAAACTGAAAGTCAACATGAGAAATAGAAAATACCAGCCATTAGATGGCTATGAGGCTATTGACAGTCTTGGCTATAACTTAAAATTAGGCTGAATTAATATGAACACTATTAGTTCTATATTCACTTTACAAGTTTTAAATTAAATTCAGGCACATGTTAATTCTACATGGCAGTCACAGTGTTGCACAAAATGTCAGTTGTAAAAATGCTGACGTCATTGAATAGCAGAAACACAGGACCAGAATAAAGAATCTTGGAGAGAAGTCAACATATTACTTTAATAAGTAATACCTTTTTAATAAAGTTTTCATCCTCAGACACAACACATTCTATTTCATTACAAACAGCACCATTTACAATTGGTCAAATACAGATACCTGTAATTGTGAAAACCTTGCTATTTACATCTGTAGTGATGCATTATTTTAAAGAAATATCTCAAGTGCTACCCAGTGCCAGATTTTTCAGTCTAAATCTATCTGTCAATCACCTTTACATGTTATTTAGCGCCCTATGACATCACAATTAAAATTATATCATATGATGTTCATATTGCCATTGACGGACAACTGCAAAGGGAAGTAATCGAATCAAACAGAAGAATCTGAAAATGAAAATACTTAGGCCAGGTTTTTGCAAATTTGCCATAATAATGTTGAATAATAAACTTCCTTTTGTACACTTCTTCAAAAGATAAATCCAGCTTTTAAAACAAGAGTTCTCAGCAACTTCAACAAGTCTTGTGTAAAGATAAAATGGTAATTCTACAGTCTTTTTTTTAGTAATTTATAGAATCCATTTATCCATATATGTACAAGGTTGCTTTATCTCGGCTTCACCCAACTTTCTGTAACATCTCATTCAAAGCTTCACTTAGTTTGATAATGTCAGTCCTTGGAATGAGTTAAATTGATCATACACAGGTAACAGATTTGATAAGTTTCATAAATTTTTAATCATAAGAAATGAGGGATTACCAATTCACATTTACACAAGATGTGTCAGATGTTCTGAAAACTCTAGCTAAGAAACTGGAATTATCTTTAAAGAAGTGTACTAAAGGAAGTTTATTATTTTAGCTGGTACTATTCCATAAATGGATGTTTAGTAGAAAGTGGTGGCACGGCTACTATATGAATCTAGTACTTACTAATAAATACTACAACAATACTGTTATTAAATTCTACAATATATTCTTATATCATATTTTCAAATTAAAATTCTTGCAGTGAAATCAAGTACTAAACTGGAAATCAAAATCTAAGTTGTATCAGTTATTGCTGCTGAGAATCAATATCAGAAATTTAATGAGAGAAGGAATTGAATCATGTTTGGTCTACATCAGATAAGAACTGCACTGGTATATAAAGTATATTTTCCAGTCAATTTCTTAAACAGCATATGGAAAACGGAAACCTGCCAAACACACACATATATATACCCAATAAGTACATTAACGCCAAGTAATTAATGATGAAGTTTTCATACACACAGACTTCACATTTAATCTGCTTCACAATTTTTATGCATGACATAGACTCAATCAACCCAACATAATGCTGTTTGTTAAAAAAAATAATAAGAAAAAATAATCATAAAAAAACCCTGATAATTATGTTGATAACTATGATCAAAATGAAAGTGTTCCTCTTCCAACAAGTACAAATGATTTTATCAACAGATATTTCATTGATGAACGACAAATTCAATTGTCCATGATTATGTTCTATCCAATGATTTTCGCAAATTAAACATTATTTACTTTCCACGATAATAATATCTTTTTCCTACCTTTCTAAGTAATGATAAGAGATACAGACCTGACAGTTCAAGATGTTGTAATACTGTACTGTGGAATATGATAACATTATAGACATGCTATTTCTGACCTAGAAACACAAAATTTCATTTAGGGAAGACAGAGAAAAATTTGTAATAGAAAGCTGGAAACTGAACATTACAAATATTAAGTAGCAGTGTGCTCATAGATTTGTCAATTACACTCCAAGCAACCTGCCCTATGTGTTATAGTTTGATATCAAGCATGGAACAGTTAACATAACAATTCAAAGAGTGGAACCCAATGACATGTTAACAAATACAGAGCTAACACAAATAGTGTTGTTCAGAGTCCTAACATTACAGTACCTCGGTATATTCTTGTATATTTCTTATCTAATATCAATTTTAAGACATGAAGAATAATAAAACAAATAAAAAGAAATTAATATCATTTTTGTACTTTAACATCTATGATGAACATTTTAAATTCTATAATTTCTTTTAGATTTTATTTGACCTAGAAACTAATCAATTAATTCTAATTAATACAACCTGCTAATTTATAAGTATTGATGAACAAATGTGCTGAAAAATAGGCAACCTTCAAATAAAACATCATAAAAAGCTGTCAAGTTAGATAGTACTGAATGGAAGAAATTCTACTGTTACAATATTGAAGTTCATCAAAACATTGAGAAAATAAGTGTTCCATGAAATTAAGTCTTGTTTTCCTCATTTTGAAATTCTTAGCAACTATTGAAATTCAAATTTAATGAGCCCAAAAATTCTTTGATATATTATAAAAGTAGATTTTTTTTTGTTCTAGAAAAGTAGAAATTTATTGAAAACATTAAAATCTATCAATGATTTTAAGTTGTACACACTTGGATTTCTTTAGGTACTCAACTGGTTTGCTGCAGTACTAATACTTGGTGAGAAACAGAACTAAATGCAATTATAAGCATTGATAAGCAAGCCCTAAATAACAACTAAAAATGTCCACCAAAACTTTGTGGTTTTTACTTATGGGAAATGGATATTAACCATCCAAATCCATCCTTACATGAATTGCTACATTTTATGAACTGTATACTATTTTTGTATACTTATGTTTTCTGTGAAACTAAGCTAAACAAATCCTGTCCTCCTCAGAACTGAAATTAAAAGAGAGATGACATTTACGTTATTAATGAATGGTTATTAAATTGATAAAATAAGATCAGTAATTGATTGTTTTAAATAAATGTATTACAGTATAAGTATATCAAATTATTCTATGTTAATTTAAATATTTAGATATCAAGAGAAAAGAAGGATGTATTTTAGTAATAGATTGGACAGGCACCTCTGCAGTAGTTGTACAAACTCTTTTGTTTGATTAATCAAGGAAATGAGAACAACATTAACCAAATTCTAAGACTGATAGAATTCAACAGTCTGAAGCTTCAGACAAATGTTCTAGCCAATTCACAGTGTAAACTTACAGTAAAGCAGTTCTGAAGGAGACAAGTGTGAAACATCAAACAATATTTATTGCCACACATCACAGCGAATAGTGTTGGAATGATTTTATTACTTCAACCAAATTTACCATAAAAAATAATGTTCAGATTTATGAAGCCTAACAAGCTTCTACAACACTGCCACAAAGTCAAGACCCTTAGCTAACTGTATAAACATCCCAGTTTAACAGATGTCCGATACATATAAAGGACAGGCGTGTGCTAGTAGCAACACCTGGTGTGTAACAGATTTTAGATGACGGATGGCATTTTAATGATCCCTGAATATTTTTGTCTGTTCGCTCTCACACACAACATCACAGCCTGTGTCAGGACTGTTCACCATCACACTCCTTTTCTTCCTCAGGTGCCTGGTCATTATCTGTTTGTTGCTGCTGCAACTGTTGCTGTTTCAGGTGTTGCAAATGCTGCAATTTCTTCAGCAACTCTGCATCATTTTTCTGTTTTATAGCCATCACTAAGTCTTTAATCTCTTGTCGTTTCTTTTTCATTCTCTCCTCCGTGAACCAATTTTGTAAACACTTGATTGGAAATGAGTAGTCCACCAAAGGATCCTGAAAAGGAAGGAAACCCTTTTTCATACTATGACAATTAGATAAACATAAATTTAAAAAGTAAAATATCAAAGGGATTTTACATTGTTGAAAATAAAACTATGGAAAACCAGGAGGAATGATTGTGCAATCATTAACAGGGCTTTTTATAGACTTTTGGACTTCTGCACTCAATCATAAGGATTTTCATGAGTAACATTTAGGTAAAAAAATATATATATAAAGGCATGTATTTCTATGTGAATTGATAAATAAATCTTTTTATTTGAAATCATTGGAAATGGAAAGTGGAAATCTGAAACATCACATGGATCCATAACAATGACAGCTGTGTGTATACAGAGCTGGTGCAACTATTATATTTCATAACGTAAATGTTACTTTTACAAATGGTTCAACTTTCGCTGTTTTGTCAAAGGTTTGAAGCAAAAAGACTTACTAGGTTTTTCATGTAGTTTTACTACATCCTTGAAAATAGCAAACAATAAAATAACTTTATAATATCAACATATAAAACCTGCTAAATTTCAGATAACGAGAAAATGCTATATAAGGAAGGTTCCGTTTTATTGACGTTTATAAAAATACCTCAAAGAAGCTCTGTGCATACTGCAAAACATAGAGGCCACAGTCACTGAAGTTGGTCTGTTGAGGGACTCGGGGTGTGCAGCCACGTATACGCTCCTTCAGGTTAAACAAATTGTCTTTCTTTGTGTTCCACTCCACTTGAAGGTACCTGTTGTACAGCCATGAGATGTTTAGTGATGTTAAAACATAATTGAATCTTTGTATATGTATTAAATAATATGTCAACTGTTTTGTAACACTAAAGTACAAAACCGGGCCTTATATTTTGAAAGCTAAGCCTGAAAAGTGAATCTTAAATGCTGTGACAATATCTGACACAAATAAACTAAATCTTGACTTTTCCACAATCACCTTTGTGAAACAATTAATACGACGGTAGTTTTGGTCTTTTAAAATATGTAAACTTCAATGCACCTATACCGTGGATCCAGAATAATTGTTAAGATGTTTTATTTTCAAAACTACACACAAATTATAAAAAGACCTTTCTCTAATTAACACTGCATTACATTGTGAAAGTTTAAAATTATTTTTAATTTGATTTGGAGATAACCTCAGGAATTCACTGTGTTGACAGTACTGTGATCATTACAGATCACCTGCAAACTACAGATGATGGGCTATAACTTACTCTTTCAGTATTGTGACGATTCTAGCTTTGTTTGGGCCAGCCAATGAATCAAATATCAATACACATGGTCTGAAACAAAATAGATCAGTTTTTTATCATTAGCAAGACATAGGAGATATTGATTTGTTATTTATCAATATACAATTGATTTACTATGCTGCTGTACCAAATAATACAATATTGTCAATGAATGTAAAGAAGTCTATATGTCACAATCTGTACATACATACCAAGCAGAAAAGGACAATATGCAATCAATTTGAAATATCACAGATGACAATATATTTGGGAACAGAATAAAACCCTTATCTCTCTTTCATAAGAAATAGAACTAAATTTGGTGTCTCGACGAAGAAATGGAGTCCAATGGAAAGTTTACACCATTTTGGTATATTACTCCTTAAGATATGCCTATATATAAAGATGATATAAGTTTGACATCATCTATAGTAAAAACTGGTTTTAATACTAACGCTCTTTGTCCACTTTCCACAAAACATTTCTTGCTCTCTGCCACCTCATCATAACTTTGTATTATCCGACCACGTAGTTCCTAAAACAAAAATATTCCAAAGTTAGTATTTTGGGCCTCAAATAAAAAACAAGTTTTGCACCTAAATCAATAGTCCTTCTTGATAAAGTGATTCAGAAGACCTTTTCAGTGCAAGTGTATCACTGGTACTCATTCAGATACTTGTACACCCACTTTTGAAACTTAAGGTGATGACCAGGTATGATATATATTTCCTTGACAAAGATTCAGAACACAGATGAAAAGATTAAAAAAGTAAATAGAGACTAGCAATTCTTGTGAAACTGTTCAAGAGATTGCCCCACTGCAATCATAATTTTGTCTGATCATTTCAAGATATTTTTACTATATAAAATCAGTCTTTTCAAGACATATTAGAGGATCAAATGTTGTTTATGACACACTGGCCTAATAATTAGATTGAGCCAACACTTTTTAAATACTATTTCATAGCTCTCCATATGCACACCTTTGGGGGCACTTTTGTGGAGCTACAGTAAGCTGGTGTATACTGAGTTTTGTGTTGAGGCATTGTAATAGGAGTAGAGACAGGTGTCGAGGTGGGTGTTGACATAGTTGTCTGTGGCACAGAGGTGGTGGGCGTCGTCTCTGTGTCCATGGGTTTCTCTTCATTGTTCTCCTCCACATCTTCCTACAATCACAAATTACGTAACAGGTATTAAATGTTTAACATCAGGTCTTTAAAAATACCTCCGACTTTATGGACACTAAGTTCTCGTCTATATAAGTCACTATTGTGAGATATATTTGTGAATTTTTCAAACCTTTTTGGTTTTATGTTATAATAATAAAAAGAGATGATACATACCTCCATAGCCTCGCCTGCATTGTCAGAACCAGGTGTAGGCATGCTATCAGTCAACCCTTCACTGTCCTGCTGAACTGGAGTACTGACCTGTTCTCCAAAAACCTTCTCCAAACGATGCTTTGGTATATAGAAAATGTTTTCATTCATAAGTAATCCTGGGTAACAGATGATGGCCAGGAACCAATGGGAACTGCAAGCAATGAAAACATTGTAGAGAATTTAACACAAATGATTATATTACAATAAAATCTCTTCACAACTGCTTTTGTCGTACTATTTTACAGCCCCAATTTATCACAACCAGATTCTTATTTTGGACAAATAATTTACTGTAAATGGAGAATTACTCTCGTTACTTAATATTCATTCGTTGCAGTCTTTTACCAATAGACTGAAAATAAATAGTGATGGAAAATTTGATGTTTAAGCTGACATATATGTTTCATGTACTTTAGCAAAAATTTTCTGCGAGAGCAAAACAAAACAAAAATAAAATCCTCACGTGAATGATTTACCAAAACAAACATCATTTAACATATTTGTTTTGATTTTGTTAAGTAATGGACATTCAACACTTCATAATGGCCAAAATGACAGGGGAAAATGCATAGCACTTTACTATTATCACCTGTACAAAACAATCATCCATTTACTGTGGTTAATTTGATTCAGGTTTATACAGATAATTTTCTTGAAAAAAAAAATTTAATATAAAAAACTAACTGTTCATTGATGGGAATCACAATGAAATCTTTCTCAAACAGATCCACATGCTTTGTCCACTTCTTCACAGCAGCATGTCTTCTCTCTGCAGGACTGAAATCAGCAATTTTTGCAAAACTTAGAATGCTGACAAGGTTAAACACACTCTTTTTTTTTTATCTAAGGCTCATAGCAATTAAGTAATACTTAAAGAAATAGACTATACTGATATTGGGAGATGAAGTTTGTGCTTTAAGTATTGGGCCTGTGTAAAGCTTACATAAGATCTTAACACATACTGATTCCTTCAAAAGTTCAGCACTTTGTATTATATGGGGGAAAATAGAGGAAACATCACTAAAGATTGTATCAAAATAAAGCATACAGCACAATATAGTATTCACATCTGTTTCAGATAAAATATGAAAATACATACGTGAGAGCAGAGTCTGCCACTCGGCCTTGCCGCTGAGTCAGACGTTTAAAGAAAAAGGAACTGAAGATATGTGTCCTCTTTCTGACTTCTTCACTCAGTACTTCCCGGAACAGGAATCTGCTCACAAGCAAACACATTTCATTTGAAATTGACCCATAAAATACTTATGCTGTACATGAAGGCACATATACAAATCTACCTATATAAGAAAAATGTAAACAAAAATTTGCATTGTCAAGTTCCTATTAATTGCTAACTATTTTTTGTTTCATGAATGAAAATATTTTTTGTTATATAGATAAAAAATGTCTTTTTTTCTTTTGAACTTGTGTTTTTGTATTTGTTTAAGTAGAAATGTTGTGTCATCAACAATAGTCCTGAATATGAAAAATTTGACGTAACCTACCATGAAAATGTTGATATAACCTGCCATGAACGATTCAATGTCTCAATGTGTCAATGTTGTTTGCTAGTCCCTAGAACTTTGGAACATCAAAGTTTGACAGTACTTAACAACATGCTAGATGCAGGTGCCCGTAATCAGAAATTCTGTAGATACGAAGGTCATGCAAGCCTGGTGGCAAACATGAAATTAATAGTTGATGCTGTTCAACAATCTTGACATAATCACATCTTATCCATGTGTGTCTGATTCTGGCAGGAAACACATTTTTATTAATTGTGATTTATGCCGAAGTACTGACTAATGAAGCATTAACCATAACAATGATGTGATGATTATTTGATAACAGGTTTTTTTTAATTCAATATGGGATTCATCATTTGAACTTTAATCTCTTACTTCACTTAGGTATTATTTTTTCTTGCCATTTTTTTTTTAGTAGTTGAAATATTGAAATATTTCATTTTTTTCATACACATATTCTATCGCTACATTGAGTGATTTGCTCTCTAAATCTCACAGTGTACTGGCAAGTTATCTCTTTTTAACTCCCGCTACACAAGATTCCGAGATGGGAAATGGTCCATTTGTGATCACATTAACTCCCATTAGGAAGCAGGAATTATGTGCTTCATTAGTAACACTTCTATATAAAACTGATGATATTCTCTCATAATAATTACATAATAAGTAATTTGTTTTCTAGATCCAAAATGTTTGTGTCCATTAACTGCAAATTTAATGTCAATCTGGTGAAGAAGTTAGTACGTTAAATTTGACAAACAAGTTCAGCAACATTTTGGGTAATGAATATTCAAAGGGGAACATTTTCAAGCCAATTTTCAATTTTCTTTGGAGATATATCACGTATACTCTGAAGAAATGGGCCACACCTTGCATGTGATAGCCACGAAGGTTTACAATACTTACCTCAGATAGAAATCAATGATGACATCATTGAGGAACTCGCCTTCATTCAAACAGTACAGGTCTTCGTTTGTAACTGCTATACCACCAGGAGTAGGGGGAGGTGGGTATGTTATCAATCTACAAAATCAAGATATCATTAACAAGTTGTGGCCTTCAAAATCAAGTAGATTCTAGATAGTTTAACACTACAAATTCTCAATTTTTTCGCAACTTTCAATCTTTCAAGCAAGATTTTGTATGACTCTCAAAAACCTGCATTTTTGATTCATAAAATTGCAAAAACTGATACTGTTTAACTCTATATCATGTGTGATCTGAAAGTTCCAGGGAAAAGCATGTCTCAAGCGGACCTTTTTCAAAATGTTTTACCTCTATAAACAATGAAGTAGAAATAATACCATACATGATATATAATATAGAATGCACACTATCTATGCACCTATGTTAAATTACCTTAAAGCCAATTATTTTCGCTGATTACAATATTTTGCTATTTTGTGCTACATTAACATGAATGCAAAACTTAAATCTGTGAAATAATGACATGCATGTTTTCAATGTCCTTTTAAAGTTAGAAAATTCATTCCAATATAATTCAATTGTTTTAAAAGCAATTCATAAAAAATTTGACTGTAAAAATAGCCAGCAGCACAGTATATGAATATTAGTGAATTTCAGCTGTGTGAAGATTTCATTTGTCTATCACTTTCCTTGTACATTACAGTGTCAAATTGCAATAATGACTTACTTTTCTATTGGTCCAGAAAACATAATGCGAGGAGGGGAAGGAGAACGCTCTCTCTGGCCAAGACTGGTGTCCATATCAGAGTTGTCTGCCCCAAATTCTGTGTTGTTGGATTTTGTCATGGTATTGTTAACACAGGGGGGTTCTGTCTTCATCGCATTTGTGTCCATATCAAAAGCAGGATTTGGCATCCTCTTACTTAAGAATGATGTGCTGATAAGAAGCTGTTGGGATTCTGTATGACTCAACATCTCAATAAAATTCTGATCTTTGTTGTTGATAGTTTGTTGATAACCTTCTAGGACTCGTAGTGTGTTTTTCTGTTCTTGCAAGGATACTGACTGTAACAGCAGCACTATGTACTGGTATTTCAAGTCTGAAATTAAAAATCAAACATAATCTAATGAATAAAAGTCTACATTGCTTAATGGACCAATTAAGAAATGTGTTCTTATCAAGTCACAAAATATTTGCATCAAGATTCAATTTCTGTTATGTTTCTCATTTTTGACAACTTGAAGATGGGAGTGCAGAACCGTTTTCCTTTTCAAATAAAAAATTCACACTTTAGTTACTATTAACATCTCTATTTTTGCTGGTGTCTGTTTGACTTATACAATAGTTCTGAATATCTGCATATATTTCACTCACAATTCCAGCCACATTTTTTATTTCAAAAGTGTTAAATGGTGTCCTTTATCTTTCACCCTGATGGATGACCATTGAAATTTAATTAGGTATAGAACTTGGTGGGGTGAAGCTACTGCGTAAATATGAACTAAAACTTCAAGGAGTTTGTGAGATTGGTATCTTGTACACAAGGGTTTTATTTCCAAGGTTTGACAAAAATGACCTTTTGACCTTTAACCTTGACCCATGAACATCATTATCTTACCAAGTGTAGACCTTGACGAGGGGATGTTATGTTGTGAATATGTGATGTTTAGTGTGAATATGAACCTTCACCAAAATTAAGTCAAGTGTAGACCTTGATGAGATGATAGTGTGAATATGGACTAGATTTACTGTTCACAAAATACACTAAGTTATCATGAATACACACAAGGACAGATAGATGCATGCAGACAGTTATCACTATGTAAATTGCGGTTATAATAACAGCACCCAGCAAATGCACTTGTCAGCTCATCCTGATGAGAGGATTTTGGCAAAAGACAAGTGATTTTTACTGACTAGTCCTTCAGTGGAATATATTTTTTTCATATAATTCCATGTACGTATAAAATAAAAGCTGTCTACCTAACTGCTGACCATCATGCGTTCTTTTAGGGACTTTACAATGAAAAATCATAAAAATTTCAGCACATCATAAGATAAGTTTGTGCCTCCTACAACAAACACTGATCATGTTATCGGTAAAGAAGTCCTAGGTTATCTGAATGGAAATAGCTATGGAAAATTGCTTTTTTAACAGGATAACCAAAAAATATAAAGACATTTGCCACAAGACAACCAACTTCAAAGAAAACAGTACCCATAATGATATTCAGCAAACATCTTATTGTATAATTATTATGATAGCATTAAGCTTTCTAGAGGCTCTTCAAAAAATATATATCGCAAGTTCTCATGTAAAATTGCCTACTCACTAATGACTTCACAATTCTAACATTGGACGTTCTTGAAATTGTGTCTAATTGAGTATAATTACTGTTGGTAACTGTTTTATTAAAACATTCACCAGATATCAACAACTGATTCACATCTGAACTTTTGAATTAAAGTCTGTTACATGGTGTGTTAGTGCTATAAGCATGGTTATGAAAATCTTGCATGTAAATTTTCCAGACTAGTGACTTCCTCTTCTGGCCAAATACTTTTAACCAAGCCACAAATATGACGGCCTAAAGGCGTTTTTTCTGGGCTCTGACTCATTAGTAAGAGGTCATTAGATGTGAAACTAGCCTTTGTCCACAGGATTGAAGTAAGGTTCTGAAGAATTTGGTGGAGGTGTTTTATTTGTCATTTCCAGCTGTTTTCTCAGTTTGCCTCCAAAGTCTACTGTGGTATGAATAAATATGACCGGTGTAGATTTCTTCAAGTGTAACAAGCACTGGTTCATCTCTGATGGTGCTATGTTGAATTTATGAGTGTTCTCCTCACCTGTAAACACAAGTAAATTGTAATATTTGAATCTCATAAAAAAATTTCAATCATTTATATTGACTTCATATCAACATATGAGTGATGATATACAAAATGCTCCAAATAATGCCAATATGTAACGAAAATGTACTTAAACCAAACCTATCATTGTTAAATTGCAGATTTCTCTCTCTCTATTAATCAAGTTTTTCACAATAAATATCAACAACATGCATATTTGATGTTCAAGCAGAACTACTTACAAATATTAACAGTGGAATCATAACAGTTTAAAGTATGTGTATTTAAAAAGTAAAAAAAAATCTGAATTTCAACGAAGCTTTCAGTTAGGATCTATAGATCAACGTTTTATTTCAGATCAAACTAAAATTATGACAAATACTTTAGCATGAAGAAATTACCTGAACAGTTTAATTATTATTTACACATGTTTTTCTTTACATTGTATGCGATGCATTTAGTACAACTAACGTTTATAAACCATTAAATAAACTGGTTGGTAAGTTTGTTAAGTAGAAAGTAACACAAACCGCTTTCTTCTAGACCCTCATATCCTTCAATCAAGGCAAACAAGACTGACTAGTATGAGCTGATAGCTTGTTTCACAATTGTTGTCGTGAAGTAAAATTTCATTTGTAGTTAGGTCATGTATTAAAAATAACATTTTTTGACAAATGATCACAATTTCTGATCCATGGACAAGATATGGCTTTTAACTTACACTCCATAAAGATTTGCACACCATCATCTGAAATAAGGATAGGTTCTATAGGAGTGCCCTTCAGTGAACCAACTTTGACACTTCGGGCATTGAGTGTAAGACTTCCTGATGATTGTGACTGTAGGGGAATGGCCACTGGTTTCGGCGTGTCAACCTTTACTAGGGGTTCTGGTGAAGGAGTATTGGACTGAGTGTTGGTATTCCATTTTGACATAAGATTTCCTTCCTTTAAAATAGAAATTTTGAAATTTTGATAAAATTTAAACTTCGCCATTCACAAGGTCAAGAAGATAATGAAATATGGAACAACCAACTTTGCCAGCTACAAAATAAGTACAAAATATGATATCACAGTAACTTGCAAAGGAACAAAATATTTAAGAAAAATGATTCATCAGCCATTGAAATTTTCAATATTTTTCAAAATGAAAAGAATTATCATAAATATGTAGAGAGAACACTGTTGTAAACATATTTCTTTACTGTCCTAGTTCTTTCAGGGAACTGAAAGCCAGTACAGTTAAAAAGTTATGATTTCACATTCATAAACTTTATTCAAAAATGAAAATATTGAAAATATTACCTTGTCTTCCATTTTGCTAATTCTGCTGTTTTTAAATGTTGGTGAATTCCGAGAAGGAATGATTGACACTAGTTTAGACAATTCATCATCTTCCTCAGTCTTTTTGGAGACAGTATTTGATTGGTTTTTGCTCTCGTTACAAGATAAAGCACTAGAAGAGCCATTTTTAGATGGAGTCTGAACACATGACGTGGAGAGATTTTCTAAATTTGCGATTTGAGTAGCAGTATCTTCTTCCTCATCTGAGGATACAATCACAGTAACTGGAAAGAAAAAGTTAAACACATGACTTTTTACTATTAAAAGGATAGCCAAACTTAAAGGAACACTAAATTAATTCTATCTTGCTTTATTAAGAGTTTCAATATTTACAAAATCTTTTTATTTCCCACTTTCCTCTCATTTAAGCAATAACTTTGATTTTTTTCTATTTTTCATTTACTGATTATAATTTTTTGTCCACTGAAAAACTATAGAATAAGAATACAATAGGCAGAGCAATATAAACCTTCCCACGCTGAAAAAATGTTCATGATTTATCATACTGAAATGCAAATATAGAAATGGTAACAAAGACTTGAGAAAGATTAACATTATGAGAACGTGATGGGGAAGAAATTTGTCCAAATACAGTCAAATTAAAGTTACACTCAGAAAAATACAACTTAGTCATTGCGATTACCAGGTAAGTCTACAACGTTTGAAGGAGATGGGTTGGAAAATATTGGAGGCAATATCTAGACAAAAGAAAGATGACACCAGAAGGACAACCAATACCATATCATAATACATGCATAATATAGACATATAAAACCTGGAGTATCTCAAACTAAACCTACCACATCTCTATGTAAGTAATTTTTTGAAGTACATACCTGGTTCCACATATTTTTTACTAGGTGTGATGCGGACCATGTTGTAGGTTCGTCCTTGGTTATTTATTCTTCGTCCTCTCTGGGACACACTTCGTACACTCAGCACAGCACTCTTATATGGTTGAGACTGTCCTTGAATTTTTTTACCATAAAAGGAGTCTTTAGTCACAACACCAGTACTTTGTTCATTTTTTGATTCACTACTATCCAGCTTTTGTCGTTTCACTGGTTCCTTTTTCACATTATTTGGGAACTTTCTATTGCACCTTTCACACGAATCTGTCCTGGCACTAGTGTATCCACAAAACTTACAGTGAACCACATATTCTCCATCATCCTAGAAGACAGCATATCAATATTAGTGACAAGAAATGGAACAACTGCAACATTGTACCGACATCATGTCTTAATTCCTTAATGTTAACATCAAAGAAATGAAGCAAAATATATATAAAAAATATAATTATTACACCATGGTTGACACGTGATCAATTCATCAACAACTGAAAAAAGAATGAACTTCTTTACCTCATTTTGTCGTTTTACACTGGATGTATCTTCCATCTTATTTTCTCCTTGACTAGAATCGTCTACAATACAATAAAATAAATGCACTTTTAATTCATGTTTTTCCAATCCATTTCAGGATCAGGTATATGGACCATTTGAGTTTCGGGTACTGATAAATCGACATGAAAAGAGGGTAAACATCTTCCTTCTTACTCCAGGTGTGTATTTAAGATAGGAAAAGGAAAGAGTATTGGAATATAATTTTACTTGACAGAAATTAATCCATATGGGCTTATTACAGGACAAGGAAACAGCATTGGACAACAATAAATACCAGTGGGATAAAAAACATGGTATTAAGTTCAAGAATGGAGACTAGAACAGGAAAAAAACTGTTATGAGCGACCTACTATATGATGAGGACACAACTAAGTATGTGTGAACAATGTACAGTATGATGAAGACATAACTAAGTATGTGTGAACAACGTACAGTATGATGAGGACATAACTATGTATGTGTGAACAATGTACAGTATGATGAGGACATAACTAAGTATGTGTGAACAACGTACAGTATGATGAGGACATAACTATGTATGTGTGAACAATGTACAGTATGATGAGGACATAACTAAGTATGTGTGAACAACGTACAGTATGATGAGGACATAACTATGTATGTGTGAACAATGTACAGTATGATGAGGACATAACTAAGTATGTGTGAACAATGTACAGTATGATGAGGACATAACTATGTGTGAACAATGTACAGTATGATGAGGACATAACTAAGTATGTGTGAACAATGTACAGTATGATGAGGACATAACTATGTATGTGTGAACAATGTACAGTATGATGAGGACATAACTAAGTATGTGTGAACAACGTACAGTATGATGAGGACATAACTATGTGTGAACGTCGTACTGTATGATGAGGACATAAATATGTGTGAACAATGTACTGTATGATGAGGACATAACTAAGTATGTGTGAACAACGTACTGTATGATGAGGACATAACAGTATGATGAGGACATAACTAAGTATGTGTGAACAATGTACAGTATGATGAGGACATAACTAAGTATGTGTGAACAACGTACAGTATGATGAGGACATAACTAAGTATGTGTGAACAACGTACAGTATGATGAGGACATAACTAAGTATGTGTGAACAACGTACTGTATGATGAGGACATAACTAAGTATGTGTGAACAACGTACTGTATGATGAGGACATAACTAAGTATGTGTGAACAACGTACTGTATGATGAGGACATAACTAAGTATGTGTGAACAATGTACAGTATGATGAGGACATAACTAAGTATGTGTGAACAATGTACAGTATGATGAGGACATAACTAAGTATGTGTGAACAATCTACAGTATGATGAGGACATAACTAAGTATGTGTGAACAACGTACAGTATGATGAGGACATAACTAAGTATGTGTGAACAATCTACAGTATGATGAGGACATAACTATGTGTGAACAACGTACAGTATGATGAGGACATAACTATGTGTGAACAATGTACAGTATGATGAGGACATAACTATGTGTGAACAATGTACAGTATGATGAGGACATAACTAAGTATGTGTGAACAATGTACAGTATGATGAGGACATAACTAAGTATGTGTGAACAATGTACAGTATGATGAGGACATAACTAAGTATGTGTGAACAATCTACAGTATGATGAGGACATAACTAAGTATGTGTGAACAACGTACAGTATGATGAGGACATAACTATGTGTGAACAATGTACAGTATGATGAGGACATAACTAAGTATGTGTGAACAATCTACAGTATGATGAGGATATAAATAAGTATGTGTGAACAATGTACAGTATGATGAGGACATAACTATGTGTGAACAATGTACAGTATGATGAGGACATAACTAAGTATGTGTGAACAATGTACAGTATGATGAGGACATAACTATGTATGTGTGAACAATGTACAGTATGATGAGGACATAACTAAGTATGTGTGAACAATCTACAGTATGATGAGGACATAACTATGTGTGAACAATGTACAGTATGATGAGGACATAACTAAGTATGTGTGAACAATGTACAGTATGATGAGGACATGATGAGGACATAACTATGTATGTGTGAAATGTATGTGTGACAACTACAGTATGATGAGGACATAACATGTGTGAACAATGTACAGTATGATAAGGACATAACTAAGTATGTGTGAACAATGTACAGTATGATGAGGACATAACTAAGTATGTGTGAACAATGTACAGTATGATGAGGACATAACTATGTGTGAACAATGTACAGTATGATGAGGACATAACTATGTGTGAACAAGTATGTGTGAACAATATGTGTACAGTATGATGAGGACATAACTAAGTATGTGTGAACAATCTACAGTATGATGAGGACATAACTAAGTATGTGTAAGTATGTGTGAACAACTAAGTATGTGTGTACAGTATGATGAGGACATAACTAAGTATGTGTGAACAATCTAAGTATGTGTACAGTATGATGAGGACATAACTATGTGTGAACAATGTACAGTATGATGAGGACATAACTATGTGTGAACAATGTACAGTATGATGAGGACATAACTAAGTATGTGTGAACAATCTACAGTATGATGAGGACATAACTAAGTATGTGTGAACAATCTACAGTATGATGAGGACATAACTATGTGTGAACAATGTACAGTATGATGAGGACATAACTAAGTATGTGTGAACAATGTACAGTATGATGAGGACATAACTAAGTATGTGTGAACAATGTACAGTATGATGAGGACATAACTATGTGTGAACAATGTACAGTATGATGAGGACATAACTAAGTATGTGTGAACAACGTACAGTATGATGAGACATAACTATGTGTGAACAATGTATGATGAGGACATAACTAAGTATGTGTGAACAATGTACAGTATGATGAGGACATAACTATGTGTGAACAATGTACAGTATGATGAGGACATAACTAAGTATGTGTGAACAATGTACAGTATGATGAGGATATAAATAAGTATGTGTGAACAATGTACAGTATGATGAGGACATAACTAAGTATGTGTGAACAATCTACAGTATGATGAGGACATAACTATGTGTGAACAATGTACAGTATGATGAGGACATAACTAAGTATGTGTGAACTAAGTATGTGTGAACAATGTACAGTATGATGAGGACATAACTAAGTATGTGTGAACAATGTACAGTATGATGAGGACATAACTAAGTATGTGTGAACAATGTACAGTATGATGAGGACATAACTATGTATGTGTGAACAATGTACAGTATGATGAGGACATAACTATGTGTGAACAATGTACAGTATGATGAGGACATAACTAAGTATGTGTGAACAATGTACAGTATGATGAGGACATAACTATGTGTGAACAATGTACAGTATGATGAGGACATAACTAAGTATGTGTGAACAATCTACAGTATGATGAGGACATAACTAAGTATGTGTGAACAATCTACAGTATGATGAGGACATAACTAAGTATGTGTGAACAATCTTCTGTACTGTACTTAACCAAGTATGATCTAATTATAGACTTGAATTGAAATTATGCTCTTCAGTTTTTGTTAATAAAAAATAAGGACATCTTACCTTCAGCAGAATTTTCTGCATCACCCTCGTATCTTCCTCCCAGTGAATGGTTTTGCATTGGATGTATTGGTGGTCTAAACAAATATGATTCATGCATATGTGAATAAATTACCACAAAGATTACAAGGAGCTCCAGTTAACTTCAAAGAAATTTCTTTTTTGATCTATCTGTATTGAATTTACTGAATTGAAATAAATGTATTTCTGTTAAACATGGCTTTGTTTGTCAATCAATCATATTCTCTGATAAAATTATCAACTAAATAAGCAATAAGTTTACGAAAACACCACGACTATATTATAAAGTTTCACAATGATCCAATACAGTTCAGGGTTTTCCATAAGAGCCGGTCACCAGCCAATTTGACCGGCTACTTTGATCATTTGGCCGCCTACACCAATCCAGTTCCGTACACGACTACACGGCAGGCCAGCCTCCTACTTTCACTACACAGCCTACTACTAACAAAATTATGGAAAACCCTGACAGTACAATATTTAAACATAAACAACATCTGTTGCTTTTATACATTACAACATATTTTTGTTATCCTACCTTCCTAGGTATTTGTCCGAAGGATAGCTTGTATGAATAAATGTCCGGCCATTGGGTAATATCACCTCATCGCTCTTTCTAAAAACAAAAGAACATAAACCATTTCTACATACCAATTAAATCATAAACAGGTTAGTCTATTTTTGTTGCAGCTTTAGATGATAGCAAAAATTGTCAATTTTAATTTTCCATGAAAGTGTTAAACAATATACATGTGAATCTAAGCAGAGATATTACTGGATGGCATTAAGGGGCCATTTGCCCCTCATCAATTAAATTGACCCCTCCATATTTCTGTGTTCTTTCAATTCTACATAGAATGGCCCCTCTAAATTCCAAACATTGACTAAAATTTGCTGAAAATGACTGTTACTCTCAGCTCCCAAGATATTCCCTCATCAAAACATTTAGTAACTCATTGACAGTCGTAATATATAAAGTAACCCTAAAATGCCAATAACAAGAGAATAAAAAATGTGCAATATGTCACAAGTCTGTTCTTCTTAAAGGGGCATCAATATGAGAACATTTCTTTTGTTATTGATAGTACACATTTTATACACTTCCAGTTATGTTTCTATGCTTTCTTGTTATTCAAAGACGATTTCCGAGGTCCATCTTCACCATTTCTTTGTTTCTGGAAACCCCTCTCTAATTTAGCACTGATAATGTCACCTGATAGTTTAGAAAATGGGGCAGCTCATTTTGATCAAATATATACATTCCTGCAAATCGTAAAGCAAAGCCAAAAGTATTGGATGCTATTTCGGAGTTTTGATATTTTGTCCATTAACATGGCAGTGATGTTATGTTCCAAGTCTGTAGTAAAATATCAGTAGGTATGAATGAAATGATGCATGTACATATATTTATTAAAGATCTAGAGAGAGAGAGAGGGATTCCAAGAAACTGCATTATATCTTGTATCATCAGTAAGTTGATTGCCGAGGGCTTAAGACATTCAGTATTGATATAATGGATACACTAAAACTCTATCCTACCTTGGTCTGCCCACTTTCTTTTTTGCCAACATATTAAGACCGGTGGTGTTGCCTTTAAGTACCTTCTCTCCATTACCATCTCCTGCTCCACCACCACTCAAATGGTTAGAGTTGCCGTTATCTATACACAGCAAATTATGCAATTGAAATTAAAACAAACGAAATCATCAAGGTGTAATGTATAATACTAATAAGTAATGAAATATGAAATAATTTTGTGGGAGAATGTGAGATAGGTTTCACTGACTGAAATCTTAATGAATGATATGAAGTATTAACGTAAATCTATAGAAAAAAAATCATAGAAGTGTATTCAAAGGGAAATTTATATATCCACTATACACTACTGCAAAATCATATATTTTTGTGGAACTAAATTTTGCAAATTTCCATAAAATGACTACTTTGTGACACTCGATTCTGTGGATAAATATAGCTCATTAAACCTACTTATTTTACAGTTAGTGAACATATGTATTTGCAGATGAAGAGTACAGAGAAAAATCAATGTAAATAAATCTCCCATGAAAATGATTAATCTACAGTATATGTAAGAAATCCTCATTTCAAAAAAAAAAATCAACTCTTGGTAATTTTGTAATGACTGTGATTTAAAGACAAATGTTTTTTAGACAAAAAAATCAGAACACAATATTGTAAAACCCTTTCTGCAAATCATCTCAAACCAATTTATATGTTTATTGTACTTCATCCTGACCAGCTATTGGAATTTTTCAACTTTTCAAAAAACAATTTTAAAAAGTTATTTGCATTGCAAGCATTCATAGACTAAAGTCTGATTTCAGATATCAAAATGCCAGGGTAGATTGGGGATTATGACAGCATGCAAGAAATTGTAAAAGAATGTCACACCCTTCAAATTCAACAAGTGTCCATATTTTCTGAACGGATGCTTCTAATGAAACTTACCCTCTATAAAGATGTTGCCATTCCATATCATACTCTTCTGAACTCCATTGCCATGATCTATGATGTAATTTTGACCTGCTTTTAAATTGTTAGTGATTGCAGCAGTGAGTAAGCTCGGTGGAATACCACTACTCGAATCACTGGTACCACTACTTTGTGAGGAATTTTGTGAAGCTACACCATCTTCACTGTTGACCACAATCTCATTCTGTTGACTATCGTCAGCACATACTACAGCACCAGCGTTCACATCTGGAGTTACAGGAGAATCTGCAGCCATTGTATATGTGGGAATTTTCATTCCAAACTGCTGTTGCCCAGAATGTGACACTTGTATTACAGTCTGACCAGCCATGCTAGTCTGCTGTTTTCCAGTCTCAACATTGCATCCTTGTATCCCAGGATGTAACGGGATTTTGACAACCTTTGAAATACTTACAGGATTGACTTTTTGACCTCCATGTGCTGCATCCTTATTTGGGGTTTTACTGCTAGTTGTTACTGTGAACCTTTGGCTACCTGTTGGCAGACTTTCGACTCGAATGATCCTGGCATCACCTGTCGACAGTAGAGCAGACTTCAGCGCCGAAGTAGACCTGTTTGAATCACTAACCACTTTTGCTGTGTTGTGAACCTGATGAACAATATTGTAAGTAGCACTAGTATTAGGTGCACTTGTGCTTATGCAGCTACTCTGGCCTACACTGGTTTTCACACTTTGAGTCACAGCGGATTCCATCTGAATAGCATAGCCATGATCCAACATGGATACCGACTCTCCATCAGAATCATTGGCAACAGTATCAGTATGGTAGAGTCCAGGATTCAAGTCCTGCAGGGATGTGATAATGCTGTTACTTCCACTAGAGGGTGTTGATGTAAGGAAAGTTCCTGTACTGGTAGTGAATGGTTGTTTAATCTTCGGAATGGTATAACCAGCAAAGGAGCCAGCAGTGGGCCCACCTGTACCATGCAATAGTAAGTTTCCTGACCTGGGACTTGGCTGTGTCTGTGGGGCTACAATCTTAAAAGTTCCTTCCCCAGTACCACTGATTATTGTTTTACCTCTACCTCGTCCTCTTCCTCGACCTCTTCCACCACCTCTTGGCCTTCCTGGGCCCCTTCCTCTACCCCTTGTGGTAGTCTCCACCTGAACTACTCCTTGCCCTGCTCCAAAGCTGGAGTTTGAAGTACCTGTAAGTCGTACAATATCATGCAGTAAACTTTTTGATTGTTCTGTTTTCTGACTTATTTGGTAGACCGTGTTTGTGTTTGGAGTTGTGCATATTTGTGAACCTCCAGAATTAGATACAATAACAATTCGGTTTTGATTTGGTGAGTAGTAAGCCTTGTGAGTTCCCTCCACTGATCCAATGTTTACACTAGTTACACTAGGCACTGGTGTGGTGTGTTCTGGAGATTGTACTGGCAAAGACGAATTTGGTATACCCGGCTCAGTATATACTTCAACACTTCTGGAAAAGAACAAAAAAAAATCTTCTTCATACATATCAGACTTATAAAACTAATTTCAAATTCAATATCATATTCTTTACCATCTGTCAACAATGGGCTAAACAAATTGAGAAGATTTTTTTTTTTATTCACCAGCTGAATTTTATTTGCAACTCTTGCCAAACTGACAACTTATACTCCTTGCATGTAATCATAAATGATACATTTTGTTTCAATATTTGTTTCTGTGATGATTTCACAAAAAAAAAAATTATAAAATTTCTCAGTTGCTGGATCCTCTATATAACTAACTAATGCTAGTATTTAATTAATGTTGCACGAAGGTTCTTAGTCTTGCAATTAATCAAAAAATGATCTATATATAATTACATTAACTGTATGTACATGGAAACATTGGCCCTGGTTGTTTTTCCCCTTAAATTCTTTTTAAAACATACAAAAGCTTAAATATCAAACTCAAACCCATATTTTATTTTCAACCTCTGGGTAATAGGTTGAAAGACTAAAAGTTCATTCTTACTCGGTCACTGAATTCAAGTCCACAGGTATAGGGGTTGTCTCGACGGACTGTTCACTATACTGACTGACAGCTGGGTCATATTGCTGTACTTGTTCTGTAACCACGTTTCCAGGCTTTGATGTTGGCCAAATGTTGATGTCGATCACTTCTTGCGTACTGTCTGAGGGGAGGATGTTACTAAACATGTTAGCATTACTCCATCCTTGGTCTGGTTTTTGTTCCTCATTTGCAAGTTCTGTGAAAAAACATACCTCAATGATCAGACATCATTGGCTGTAAATTCACATCATAATAGCACATAGCTGGTAATATTGCTCTTTTAAAACCACTGAATTATGTCTTATCTCGATCAAATTTTCACAATCTGAAGGTAAGATATATAAAACACACACATATAGATCAATATAGCAGTGGGCTGTTCCTTGGAGTTTCTTTCACGATAAATGATTATTTAGATTATATATCATAGTGATTTGTGGATTTAATTGGGAAAATTAAGGGTTAAATTGTGAGTACACAGTTATCAATTTTCAGACATAAAAATAGAGATAAAACTTAATCTTTCTTTCCATCCTGATTTGAGGGCAGAATAAGCATCAAAGAAACAGTGATTGGGAAATAACAGGTCACAGTTGGCACAATACTGTCAGATAATAAATCTGCCTCTTATGTTATTGGAGTTGGGCTCTCTTAGATATACCTCCTACTCATAAGTCCTTTATCTTTAACTTCGAGGTGACTATGACCTATGACCACCAAAATGTGATTTGGTGAAGAACTTCATGGCTATAAGGAGTGAATATAAACTTAATTTGTCCTGTGGTTAATGATTTATCTTGTATGCGATCTGTGCACAAGTTTGATTCGTTCTAGGGTCTTGACTTAACTTATGTTGTTCCTCCTTTCTATATATGTACCAACTCTGCAGCAATTGAAAGCATTAATGCATTTTTTTATCATTATATAGGCCTATAATACCTCCTTTTTGAGACAAATTCCTTTTTGATCCATTATTTTGGCTTCAGCAAACTGTACTGAATATCTGTATATCAATGCATACAAAAAACACCACCACTACACTTTTGTGTAAAAGCCTTTGCAGTTGATTCAAAGCGAAAGTTTAAAGGAAAAATATGGTTGTAATTATCATCATTACCAAAGTTTGTGGATGTACCAAGCGGTTTCTGATAAAGTATGAAATATTAACAGATACATATACCCATACCCAAAATCTTCATTTCGGTAGTATTCCTATTTTTCATACACAAGAAAGCTTGTTGAAAGCTGCCAAGATTATATCAAACCACTGTTTGTTTATTACTTTTTGCAAATGGCCAGAATCAGTGTGACTTAAGTCCATGACTGGATTTTTTTACTATATTTACCTTTTTCCAGCTTAGATCAAGCCAACTTTCTTAACAAAAAGTATCATGCAGTTAAATTCTAGATACATTATTTTTCCACAACACTGTTTGATATTAGTATCTACAACAATTTTTTTTTAAGTTACTGTATGACTTTTTGCTACATCAGCAGTTTCAAGGTTATGTTATGTATACTAGGATTTAATTACAATTTTTCAAGACTTTAGAGTCTGACCCAAGTCTTTGATACTAGATATTTAATGTTAATAAATGCTTGAAGTTATCTTTTCCAGCTGCGGACAGGCTACAACAGGAAGAAGTGACTGACAATTTCCAAAGATATTACTTATCGTTTCAAATCCAAACAAAGAGTTAGCACTGTGAGATTAAAAATCCACAGACTTCTGGCCCTCATGAATTTAGGACTCTCAACGATATAAACCAGAGTGTGGTGTGCATGTGACTACAGTTTGTTATTATTTGCACTATATTCAAAACTAGGTATAAGCATGGGTATAATCTCTGGTTGAATTTTCACGTGCAATCTGTTCACGTCACAGCAGAACTCGATTGGTTCGATTCATACTACTATATCCGAGCAGTAAGTCATTATTGAATAGAACTAGGCCCAAGAATCATGCAAAGAATATTTCCTAACTTTCTTACTGAAAACAAATCATACAAAGTGACAATAATGATTTAAGACAATGCAGCTCAGATGATTGACTTAACACGTTTTGCAATTAAGTTCCTGGGGATATTTTTTCTTTGCACTTAAAATGAATAGACTTTTATAATGAATGTTAGTATACCTCACCATCAGTCAACAGAAATTTTACGACGGGTCCAGTTTCAATGACCAAAACGCATGTGGAAGGGGAATTTGTCTTTGCCAATTCCAGTATTGAGTTGACAGACTTACTGATCGCCCAGGCATTACATTGTTTGTTTCGTTATTCATATATCTACTTACCAGGGAAAAATGACATTATTTTCAACGCTTAATTCAAGAAAAACTGACGGGCGCATAGTCAACAAGGGCCAATCCAGCACCATTTTCTGCTAACTCGTGATGTCACTTCCGGTTATAGTGAAATACGTCGAGGCGATTAATTCTTTTTTCTAAATTAATCGATTACCTATGATTAAAAATCGAAGCTTTTACTCTAAAATTAATTCAAATAAAAATAGAGATCTAGTGTACTTGTATGCTAATTAAACATGCCTGCAATAAAAAGCCTTTTTAATAAGAGTTTCCCGCGTTGAAGGGAAATAACTCGTGTTAGATTGTTAGCTTACCCCGTCTCTGTATGAATTTAGCTCGGGGTATTTTGAAATAAGAACACATAACGCTATACATTTCAGAATTAGATCTGGTTAAATTCAAAAGATAACACCAATTGCTTTCTTCACCTTCAGTTTCTCGTCGCCAACATTAAACAAAGATCCATCCCCCATGATGTGTAACATTACCTAACATAGTATCACTGTATATAACCACGGACCTAGATACATAACATGTTACATTACCTAACATATTAGTATCACTGTATATAACCACGGACCTAGATACATAACATGTTACATTACCTAACATATCACTGTATATAACCACGGACCTAGATACATAACATGTTACATTACCTAACATATCAGTATCACTGTATATAACCACGGACCTAAATATATGAAAGTCCGTCTTATAACAGAAAACATCTTTGATGCTGATAATGGTGAAGGAATAGTCGTGTTTACAGCGACATTTGATAATTTGTTGTTGAAATTGCCAAAAAGGTTCTAAATGAGCCTTTACTGGTATTAAGAACACGAACATACAACACATATTTCACTAAAAGTCTGTCACACTAGACATAATTTCTTACAGCTGTTATGAGCTTGTAGATTACTTCAAATTGTTTAAACTTAGTCAGAAATACGAAAAAAAAGATAGTTCAGATTGTTTTTTTTAGGAATATAATATGGAGGACAAATAAAATGACGTCAGGAAGTCCTTGTGGACATTGAATACAATCTGACGACTAGCTAGCAGGTATTAGATTCACATTTCGGAAGTCTATTCTAAAGTATTAACGTGTTTATTTTTTTCATTTACTGAAGGAGCTTTCAAAAAGTGAATAAAACGTCTGAATTATCAGAAGCAATGTGCAAAGCGTTGATGCCAAGAGAAGCCGAAATGGCGGTAATTGCAATGTCTCGTGACCTAGAATGAAGCTGACAGTCCCGTGAATACGATCCAAATAATTTAACTAATGGCGGGGAGACAATAATTCAAATGATAATATATATACATGTTAAGCTGTGAAATAAGCACTCCTGCTAAACGTTTGATGTCCGGGTTCGGCAAGTAGGTCAGCAACGGTATCGGGCAAACTATACAGTCGTTACCATGGGGATGGTCGCTAATGTACGGTTCATGATTTAACCTCAAATAAATTAAAATTCTACAACATTTTGAGGTATCGGAGAGGTTATTATCTGTCCTTTGTCTCCTTTGTTCTTTCGTCTTTTGTTAATCTGTACATCTAAACAAAGGGCTGCCCAGAGTCACGCGGACCTATTTTTCGTCGGAAAAGAATTTCAGTAGATGTTGTTCATGACCTGCTTTACGTTGATCAGATCATCCCAGGGGCGTAGCTAGCCCAGTAGCGAGGGGTCTGTGGGCCGCTTAGGCCCTTGGTTGGGGGATCAGGCCCCCAACGGAAAATGAATTTCATGATTTCAGAGATGTTTTGAATCGTTTTCCGAGACAGTTTTTTCTTTATTTATTTAACAACAAATTTCAACTCCTGACTAAATAAAAGCGAACTTTTTGTTCTTTTGATAAGCGAAAATGTCCATGACAATTTCCGTATCTTGGTTATATGTACATTCGGTCTTTGATGTGGTCACTCGATTCGACTTCATTTTGTTTTTAAAAAAACTTGTCGACCGACGTCTGTAATCCAGAAGAGAAGCCTTCTTCGTTTTGAAAATTTGCACTTTAACAACATTATAATCGGAAACGTTGAAATGATAGCAAGGAGTAGAATAGTATGACGTGTATAAAGTTCCGGAAAGCAATGCACTAGGCCTAGTTATTCAACAATTTTCTATCTATATTTTTTATTTATCAAAAATATTAGATATTTATTTTCAACCTAAGTTTTGTAATTTTGTCTGACATACTCTATGCACGGATTTTTTATGTGTAAGCCCGGGCCTTTTCTTTCGATGGAAGCTACGTACGCCCCTGCATCCGTCTAACTTTGGTCTCCAGTGACCTCAGTATGTCAGAAAAAAATGGTTTCGGTTTATTGGTTCACTTTACCTTGCTGACCTACCTTCTTTTTTAGATACTAGTTATCAGTAAATGGCTTCCTTTACTTAAGTCTCACTGATCACCTACTTCACTTTGGTATCAATAGTCGCCCTGACCTACTTTCACGTGGTATCCTTGACCTACTTCATTCTTGTTGAGATACTTTACTTAGACCTCTGTGACCTAATTAAATTTGATAGCCATGTTCTAATCTATGTGGGACTGCTGGCCTACTTTTTCGGGGTCTCTCTTAGCTGGTTTTACTTTGGCCTTTATGCAATATATACATGTTAAAAATCTGAAATGTCAAAAGACACCTATTCTTTACTATAGATTTATGTCACGTGAACAGCACTGGTGATTCATAATTGTTATTCAACAATCCTTACATACATGCATATTAATAAACCAGTATATTTGACTGAAAGGACTGAATATTTATCATCACTAAAATAGTTAAACAGCTTTCAAAGTGGGATTATTATTCTAAAAACCTCAAAATTAATTTTTCTGTGAGTTGAATGTCCAATGATAAATATGTTTTAGACGGCAACTGTATAAAATTTGCAGTTGCTGAAACTTCACTGTTGGTTTGCTGGATTTATCATTAACAGCCCAAGACATTTGAGGCAGGACCCCAATCCTTTTAGAAGCTGGTTGCCACATCACTGAACAACATATGAGAGGCCAATCACAAAACATCCCGGGCAATTAATTAAACATTTTGCCAACTTACAAAAACAGGATAGCACAGATTGGTGGTGATGTTATCTTTCTTACACACCCCAGATCTTCACCTGAATCTGAATAATATTATCAACTGAGCTTTTGTGAACCCCAATACTTTAATGAGCCCTATATTTGAACAAGAGGCCCAGAGGACCTGTATCACTCACCTGGATCTTTATGACCAACATTACTGTATCTGTGCATATGTTCCACGTTTAACACATTGGACCCCTGTGACCTTTACTATGGGTCAAGGTCATTTCTTTTACTTTCTTGGACTTCATAAAAGGAAATACTGGCCCTTTTGGCCAGGTGAGCTAAATATAAACATGTTCTGAATTGATGAAAAACATTGCAAGTCAGACAACCAGATGAATGATGACCCATTTATTTCAAAAGCATTTGTACAGAACTAGTCGTGAATACAATCTCTCCAAAATGAAATGATATGAAGCTTTGGTTTTCAGCAGTAAACATACACAACTTTCTCACTTCAGAATAAAAACAGGGATACAGTAACCTTGTTAGCACTATCTGAGCAACATATCACATTGAGATAAAATTTAATGTCACAATCCTTTTTTCAAACACATTAATTATTCCTCTGTGAAATTCTTTTAATCCCACCCCCCCCCCCCCCCCCCCCCCCACAAAAAAAAAAACCCAACTCATGATGTACATAAAGAGGTCATTACAATTCATAATGTGTAGGTGAATGTTTTTCACCTTTTATCAAAAGACCACAAGAAGCATTTAATCTCCAAATGAAGCCAGTTTAATAATCAACGAAATAAGACTAAAAAGTAAGTAATTTTACTAAAACAAAGTTTTTAACAAGATGCAAACTCACAGTAATCAAATTATTTCATACTTGACAAAAACTAAGCATTTTTCTGAGGAGAAACTGATTGCAATGTCATGTCTTCCTCCTTTTCTTTACAAAAGAAATCACAATAAATGCTGCATCCTTGACTAGTTACATCTTAATCATTTCATGTAAGTCAGGACAGAAATATTTATCCTGTTTGATATTCTGTGATCATACTGATCTAAGCCATATAGTATACACAGTATGCATATTTAATTTCTGTAACCAATTTACTGTATATAAACCTTTTTTTCCCCCATATTCACTATAAAGACAAAGTATTGTGAAAGTGTAATTTTCCATTCGTTCTATTTACATCTATATTTCTTTTTAATCCTCCACAGGTTTAGAACTATTCAATTCTATTCTTGGAGTACATTTTCCATTTATACTTCTAAATTGGTTCAGATAAATATACTCCACTGTTGATTGTTGAAGCTTGGGTAAGTATCAATTTGTCTTATCCGTTTTTGTACTTTCACGAAATCTATTCCAATAAGTACCTTTTAACAAATCATTGCATCTATGATGTCAGGAGAAATCATTGTGTGCAACAAGTCTTTCTTGTCTGGCAGTCTGTGCTCGAGTTAAGAGCAGAAGCTATGTGTGGCCATGACCAGTAAACAGAATTGTGGCATCAACAAGGATAATGTTCGTTGATTTTTGATCAATCAGTTTAATTGATGAAAGATAACTTGGAAAGTAAACATCAGCATACATATGTATGAATGGAGTTTTCTATATCACAACCAGTTTGAATTATGTGTGATGTTTCGGTGACTACACTTGTGTCATGTGTGTTGCACAAGATTTGATCTGATGATGGAATTTGGTCCGAGAAAGGTAGCATGATACAGTGAGCTGGATCAATTATGCTTTAAAAAAAGTCAATGTTTTGTTTAAGTGACCATGAAAGGTATCAAAATAAATCATCCTTGATAGTTCAGACTAGTTCCCACAAGACAAGGGCAACAACTATTAGTAATACTGACTCACATTGAATATTGACTGTGTGTGAAGGAAATTAGTATTTAAATGAAGTGTATTTCTATGTCACAGAATATAAATCCAACAAAACCAAACAAAACACTGAAGGTTCTTATTAAAGACAATTAATCAGAAAGTATTTAACATACAGGTGGGTTCATCAAACATTATAGCACCTCATTAACATTATTGTTAATAATTATTCAAATTTTACAATACACAAGGACCTAATAATAGCACAATTTATAATTAAAAAAAAACCTGATGATGTTCTAGTCTGATGTTCCCTGGTTTACAGCATAGTTTCATGAAATATTTAACTAGTTCAGGTCATTTTCATAATCTAGTACTTATTCCTTTTTTGGTCCCTAATAACAAAACATAGAAAATATCTGCTCTATGAACACTTCTTGGAGGACTGAAGATCAAACAAAAAACAAATTCATGTACAACAGCATTCAAAAGTAATAAACACAACATATAGTCAAATTTTGAATTTAACTACATCACACATCTGTTTCCACCTTCTAGCATTTTTCAGTGACAGCAAAGGCAAATCATTTGAAACTCCAAAATAGGAACCAGGATAATTGGAATCAGATTGAAAAATGCTAATATATAGAAGGGGAGATGTACTTTCCGGAGTTACTGCCCCTATATAGCTCTGTGTTCGATAGATATATGATGTATGACTTCAATCATGATTCAAAAATACTAAAATAGGATGAAACTTAATACAGAAATATTATAATATAGGAAGAAAGAAGAAAGAAAGAACAATTTTAACAATAGTCTTGCATCTGTAACACACCATGTGGAAATGAAGAAATTTAAATATCACTTAATACAGAAAAGGAATTAAAGGAAAAATATGAAGAGGCAACAACACCAAACAATGAAGACTAAAATAAATCCCACAACCAGTTTCAGACTCTAACAATAACATAATGCAAAAAAATCCCACACTAGTCATTATGAGCACTGTCTCTACTGAGCAAAGTGGATTTCCTTAAGATTTTGCTTACTCCTACATGATATTAGAGAAAAATACATTTCCGAATAAAGATATGAATGATTTTCTTTACAAATACTATTTTCATAAAGGACTTATTTATAGATCTATGGTGAGAACACATGTCATGTTTAAATATGGAGATGATTTTACATTTCCTTCATGAATGAAAGTACTTTAAAGAGGTGAAAAATGCACAGAGCAGAGGTGAAAAATTCTCTAATTCAGAGTAAAATTCACAATGATAATCATTCATGACTGACTACAGGAAAATATATTCATTCTTTTACTTTGTATAATGTAACAGGTATTCTACAGCTGTGCTCAAGTTGATGGAAATGCAGCACATGTATATATATTTTTGGAATGCATAAAAGTTACTAGCTGTAACTAAACATTTACACAAGCAGTCTACAAAAATTGATAAAATTATGCCTCAGCACCATACAATATCAAAGTGCATTGATGTTTTCTTACATTTGCCAAGATCATTAGGCACAAATAAATCAGCATGGATTTGATAATCATTTCTACTCAATTTAAAAAAAAAAAAAACCAGTCTTTCATGTATTTTTTTTTGCATGCAACTGACAGTCTTTTAAGTCTCTGGCACAATAGTTAAATCTTCAAAACAGATCTTATTCCAGATATAGTCTGACCATCCTCAATACTCCAGTGGTTATGATCACTTTATGTAGTAAAGTGAGATTTGATGATTAATTATTCATAAAAATTATTACATTTAAATAAAACATCAATGTAATAATTTTTTTTTACACTTTTCAGGTGTTCAAAATTTACAGATATTAATAAAAATGTAACAATCTTTACATTACCATCAAAACCAAAAGACTTTTAACTTCACTGGAACAAAACATGATATGAATGAGCATAAATAAAGACTGGAAACAGGAAGATGTGAGAGGTAACAGGTGATGACAATGATAAGGAATTGTCCAATTACATCCTAAGGTTTCTGCTTGCTGAAGTATTTTTGAGACTGTTTGGGGTCAGGAATGATCTGAAAAGAAAAAAAAAAGTTTATATTGATATACAGCGAACAAAGCTATGACATTTGAAAATTATAAATCATATGAAGGGATCACACAAATAATTTTATTCTAGGGGATTTTGTTTACAAGTTTTAAGAAAACAAAATGTTTCTAAGCAAACAATTAATGTAAATGAATTAACCTGATTTTAAAGTATTAGATTAGTACCTGGTACATGTACGTTATTTACCATGATTTTAGCCCACCTGTCTATATATAGGGCCATCTTTCCTGCAGGGGTATTGAAGCAACATTATTCATAATAAGAACCCCAACTGGTTGTGAAACAACTTCTAAATTTTTCTATAATTTCAATTCTAATTGTAATGTACTACTGGCAAGAAATCCTACATCATTCATCTTGCAATTGCACTTGCATTGAGGATCCCCATTGACATAATATCTTCAAGTACAAAATGTACTTTCATTATTCTAAATATAAGCACGCTACATCAAACCCTCAATTACTCTGCCTTCTTTATCGTATCAACAAAGATGGAATCCATGTAAACATATTTATAACTATCATTATCAAAATTTGACAGATTTTCTGCAAACATAGGTAAACTTTTCAGCTACTTTGCTGAATTTTTTAGTTGTGCAATAAAGAATTGAAACCTTAAAATATCTCTCAGGCTAATTTTGTCATAATTTCACCAATGATATTGATGTTTTCTACGTGACACTTGGCTTGAAATTTTTGTCCAGTACTTATGCTTTGTTATCCTGATAAGTACTCCTTTGTAACAATTTTTTAGACACCTGGGCACTAATAATGGCAAATTTTTAAAGCAGTTTTGATGGTACTAAATAATTATAACCTTATGAAAAAAGACTTGCAGAATAAGAAGAAAATCATTATATCTTAAAAAAAACTTACAGTGTCTTTGCCAGGCTTCCAACCAGCTGGACAAACCTCTCCATGTTTGTCTGTGTACTGGAATGCTTGAACAAGTCGGAGTGTTTCATCTACATCCCTGCCAACTGGCAAGTCATTCATTGTGATCTGGCGTAGGGTACCCTTATCATCAATGATAAACAAACCCCTAAAACAAAAGCAGATTTTAAAAAGGATGTTTATATTTGAAATCAAAATGACAGTAAACAAGTAAATGACAAATAACAATATGTATTTCATAAGAAAACCTCTATTATGTGTACAATGGATTTAAAATGGCTATGTTATGTGTATGAACGAACTTTTAAAATGACTATGTCTAATTTTTTTTTATGATTAGAACTTAGGAAAGTGTTTGACATTGAGACTGAAATTGTCAATGGTTATAAGAACAAATTTTCAATCATATGTTCTTCATTATTCTCACTCACCTGAGACTGTGACCAAGGTCTTCCAAGTAAACTCCATATGCCTTTGAGATCTCATGCGTGATGTCAGACAACAGAGGAATCTGGATGGGACCTAGTCCTCCCTTGTCTCTTGGCGTGTTCATCCTGCAAATTATAAATAAAAATCCTTCTTCATTTAACTTAACTTAAACTTTAACTTAGAGCCAGAAAACAAGTTCTTTTCCCCACTGTCAGGTAGGCATCACCATAGCAAAATTTGGACAAATTTGTTTTTCATACTTTCTTCCAGAAAGCTGTTCAGACCCAGACATGAACCATCAATCCCACTAAACAGAAACAACACAAACTTATGTCACAATCCAGTGATTAACCAATTCACAAACTTGTTTATTTTGTACTATTCTCTTTATCAGCGTTAATTATTCATGGAGAAGTAGAATCTGTCTCAAGATATGCATTTGATAAAAGTTGACAACTTCACAATCATAAAAGTTATTTTTACACCATTCATCATAAGAAATTTGATCTAATGTCCTAGTTACTTTTAATGGTCTGTAGACTGCCACCTTCCCAGAAAAGTATTGAGAGGATGTTTGACATCCATCTATATAAATATATGTCAAGCATCTAAGTGAGTTTGCCTCAAGGTACTGGTACACCCAGGGATTGCCAGCAAACAAAACATGAGCAAAATCAACAATTTTAAAGTAATTTCTTTTGCCCAGTCGATGAAAAAAAATTAGGGATGATTGTCAAAGAAACCCCCAGAATTTCTGGAAACAAGAAATATAGATTTTCTTCTCTTTTTTTCCAGGTTTAATCATTCAAATTAAGGAATTCGTTCAATTTAAGGCTGTGTTTCAATAGACATGTTTCATTCAATAAAGTAGGAAATTCACCAATTCATTATTCATGATAACTAACTTACCAGGCAAGGTGTGTAAACTGAGAGTCGACAGAGCAAGCAATCACCTCTGCGTTGATATCATGGAACTCACTGACTCGGTCACTAAAGGCTATGATTTCTGTGGGGCATACAAATGTGCTGAAAAGATGATAATATTTATGATAAGAAAAGTATAAAACCACTAACTGAGCAAAAATGTATGTATATAATAATTGTAGTTGAAGAATTTTCATATTAGCTTGAAAATTGCATATACACAACAATGAACCAATCGGAAATATACACTGTCCATAACAAATTTGTGAATAAACCATGAAATATTTCTCAAGAAATAGTGATAAGGAGAATGTTTTTTTAAAAAGAGAGACAAATGACTGACTGAAATATGGACCATCAATGGTATTGGGCTAAAAAGATAAACAAAAAAGTTCTTTCTTTAGAAATAGTTTGAATTTTTTTTCATTGAAAGCTGTCATGAAACTATGAATATATTTTACATGTACTTAAAAAAACCTGCCAATCACGACAAATAAAACTGATTGGATTTGTTCCTGTTGTAAACTCCCTCTATCATATACTTACAAGTCGAGCGGATAGAAAAAGAAGACAATATATTTCCCCTTATAGTCAGCCAGTTTGACATCTTTGAACTCTCCTTTGATGACAGCTGTCCCATTCCAGTCTGGAGCAGGTTTAGAAACTGAAAATTGAAATACAATATTTTGTCAATATTACTATCTATTTTGTCACTTCTTGATCTGTTTTTTATTGTGTGAGTTGGAGGAATTATTAAACATTTCATTGTATGTTAGATACAGTTTCCTCTGTTGAAATTGAGGCTAAATCAAGGTGAGTTCATTTCAATTTCGAATATCTGCAAAGGCAAAAATATTTTACAAATATTACCGTGTAATCACAAAAATGTTAAAACAAAATCTATGTGTCTCCATTTGACTAGATGGTTACCCAAAGCAGTAATTACCCCTAAAATGCAGGATTATTATCCATATGACGGGTTGTGCTCAACCTGCATTGCCTTCTCTGTTCAAGGTGGCATGCCTGCAATACCTCATTATTTTCATTCTTGGAATTTTCCTCGAATCGAAATTGAAAATCAACACGATACTTCAATTCCAACCAAAAGTGATTTTGGTGTGTGGTAGACTTGTCAAACAATAGACTTTGGGCTATGTCCATGATGCGTGTGTAAAACTGAACAGAACATAACGAGCAGAGGGGGGGTGGTCATGCTTTTACTCACTGACAGCTTGGCTCCATTGGATGGCATGTCCACTAGTGCGCTTCGTTTCCTGGGGATAAACGCTGCCTCCTGCGAACGACTGACATTGATGCTCGTCATTTGCATAAATGCAAACGGCTAATATCACAACGCCGACAAGAAACGTTAAGCTGCTGGGGATCGCCATCTTTCCACGTCAACTTCCGGTATGTATATGGAGCTAGCAAAAGATCTTGCCTTAGGTTCGGACATTATAATTGAAACAAAAAACACGAAACTTATTGAAAAGTTCCACATCAGTCGACATATCATCACATTATGGTGAATGTAATGTCGTATAAACTGTTTGTTATTCAATTTCAAGCTTTGTGCATACTTATACGCAAGTGCGGCTAGAGGTTTAGCGACGGTAATATTACCAAGGCACCAAACCAAAACAGTGTTGTGGAAGGAAGTAAGGGAGATCAAGAGGATTTTATAAGCATAACCTATTGCCGGTCCAGATGTATTCTTGACATATAGTTGCAGGTAATTGTTAATTTTGTCTTTTAGGTGTGTAACACCGATGTTTTTAACATGCAAACAATAATGAACAACAAAATGCAGTTGCTATCGATGCTCCTAGACAAGAAACCACAAGTTAGCAGGCACCTGTCACGTTGGTCGACATGACCATACAGAACCATTAACAATATTTTACTAGCTTGCCGCCTTTGCTACGATTACACGTAGCCCTTACATTAATTGTTATGATATCAGTTTCCTGTACAAATATCCAACTGTTCGGTCTATACCCTCTGCTTTAGATCAACAAAAATAGAATACATTGGAAAATGTGGCACCTGATGGCCTTTGATCTTGTTTATAAGTTCATGAAAAAGGATTGGCTAACAATCCCTATTTTTTCTCCTTAACATTTAAACTGTACCAATATATCAGTACTTATGATTGTTTCATATACCCCCATTTTAATTAATTTTCCCTTTTTATGATTTGACTGCCAATAGAGGTTGTTATTACTAAATGACATACTTGATATAATTGACTTGTTATTCTTGTTAGGCCAAAAAGAAAAGATAAAATCTGTGTTTTTGACTCCCAACTGTTCCTACCTTTTGGCACTGCACCTCCTTTTTTATAACATTTTTCCCTAAAAATAACTTGAATATATTATTGCTGCTTTTACATATGACTTGTTTCTAGGTGTTCCCAAGATGTACCAGTACTCTGAGATAAATTATTATATACAGACTTATGTCTAACATTCTCTCGACACCTTTCTTGAAAGATGGAATTTTATAGATCATCAAAAGTAACTGGGTTGATGGCTCAGGTTTTATTATTATGGTCAGAGTAAAAAAATATTTGTGAAGTGGTCATGATATATTAAATGTATATATATTGAGTTTGATTCTTCTTCCCTATATATTCTTAATGTTGAAATTTGAATATTAGTGAAGAGATGAAAACCAGGTTTGTGCCTTTGTTTATTACCAAGTGTATATATGTCAAGGCTCTTGATCTGCCAGATTTGGGGCCGAATTCCCAATGCAACATAGTATCTTTTTTTCCCAATTTAGACCCCAAGTTTTCCCTATTCTAAGGAATACGCCACTATTTTTCCCAATTCTAAGGGCCCCGGGCCCCAGTCCCAAAATGGGGTGTGAGAGCCCTGTATGTAGAAATTAAAAAAAAAATAATAGAAATGAATGCCATAGTGCCAACACACAAGAAACAATAAATGGAAAATTAAAAGAGGACATCAGACAAATGCAATAAATAAAGAGACAACAAAATCAAAAACCATCATGAACTTCCACAAAAACTAACATGAGATCAAGTGTTCTGGACAAGCATGCATCTTTTCTACATCTTTTCTGAATGTGATAACTTGGACAGATATTGATTTATACTACAATTCTTTATTTTTAATGTTCTGTTTATTTTTTACTTCCCCACAATAAAGTTGAAGGGGATAGGTGATCTATATGAATCACCTTGTCCATCTGTCCAAAAGAAATTCCCATGCACTTTAGTAAAGTACAAGAAACTATTATTGTTAAAAGTCAAACAGCATAAATGTTCTGACAGATTGTGATATTCGGCATGATAAACATCTTATAATACACACATGCAATACTAGTACATGCATGACACATGGATGTAAACCATTCCCTAATCAATATGAAGTACCTGAGAAGCCAGTATCAAAAGCAAGCAAACATCTAAAAATAAAAATGTAAATTAAGAAAAAATCCCAATCTACAGAGCCCAAATTTTTTGATACAGAAACCAGAAACACAGATTTTATCTTTTTATGTCTTACACCTAAGTATGATCAGCTGTAATATTTGTGTATGTTGATGGCTATCTGTTTTTATACATATGTGTAACACTGGTATATACTGGATGCTACATACCTCTCAGCTAAAGAGAACTTCTCTTTAGCTCAGTCAGTTAAGGATAAGTTAGTAAACAGAGATCCTGGCTTTGCTTCCTAGTGTAGGCATTGAAAGATATAATGACCTTCATTACATGTCATTTTAAGAGTTACAAGTGAAATTTGTTATGATTACCAAGAGATTAGAAATATTATATCTGATATATCATTTCTCAATTATTTGTAAATAATTTTTAAAAGTAAGCCAGTTTCCCTGACCTGTTTAAGTACCTTGTTATGTGCCTTCATATATAGAAAATGTAGATGCTATCTACCTAATCTCTAGGTTTTTTTTTTTATTACCAGCTATCGTAATTCACTATCATATATACTAACAGTGAACTTTTTCCTGACATTTTGTTATGTCCCAGAAGAACATGTTCTATTTACGTGTATGCATGAAAGGATTTTGGTTTTGTAGATGTAGATAACAAACAGTAATTGTTTATATACCTACCGTTCATTTCTTCTCAGTACCTTCATTAAAAGTAATCTCTATTAAATGAAAATGAAGATTATGAAATAAAAAATAAAAAAGTGAATTTTCGGAAGCAGATGATGACGTCATAATAAACTCTCAATGTTTTTATACACATGGTAAATGGTCACATATTTCGGAAAAAAGTGTGACTAGTATACTTTAACATCTACTTTGTATAGGGGTTTATTGTTACTGATATTACAAGTACATTTCTGTTGGTTCCTACATTCAGGGCACTTATCTAGGGCTAACATGATCAGGAAACTAGAGAATTTCAATGCAAATAGCTGGCATTGTTTACATTATCAGAGTTTAATATTGACATTCATGTCAATGTACCAACTGGATCAATTTGTATTGTGAAAGGATTGCTAATGATATTCATTGCCATAAATGATAGAGCTGGAATACACTGTTATACAAAAAATGATTGAACTTGAAATGGTAGTATTCAAATTATTTATTGGTGAAAGCAACATGTTTTCTTGTTTCTTCAACAAGTTATATGGTAATGATATCTGAGACAAAATGTTTAAAACAAAGTTTCTTGAAATAGAATATAATACTGTGCCAGCTCATTCAGTATTTATGTTCCCACAAACGCCAATAACATGTTTGGTAAGATGGAATCTGGATTGTTTTGTTTTTTTCGATTCTAACATGAATAAAGTCATGATTTATTCCATTTATTACAACACGAAACTTCAAAATGAAGAAAATATTAGTTTTACCTTGTTATAATTTTTGCTGAGGAATAGAAATGAATATGAATAAAAAATAGTTGGATTTTTCTTTTCAATTCAGTTTAAAATTGTGGACAAAATTTACTGACAATATAATACTACATAAATTGTTTTCTCTTTAGTAATATACATATCAAATATATCTGTTAGATCATTTGTGCAACTTCTTTTTGTTATTTTTTCAGTAGAACCAACAGTTCCTTTCACATTATTATTAAATATTCTGTGAACTAGCTTATTAAAATTTATTATTAGTATTAAAAAAAAAGTTTTGATTGATATCTGAATTCTAAAGAAAAAATGTTTAATTTGATGACCCAGTGGGCACATTTCTAATTCAAATTTAATTCAGTATGACCTGTTTTATACTGATATTGATTAATATGTCATGCATGGTAAACTTTTAACATTTTCAAGTTTTTCTGAAAAACTATCAAACCAATTTCAATGAAATTTTACAAACACCTTCCATGGCTAAAAGTGCATCAGAATTGTAAATTATATGGTCCTCAACCCCCAGGGGCCTGAGAGGTGGGGGCCAAAAAGGGTCAAATTAATTGAAACTTCAAAAATCATATTCTCATACCCCAGGTATGGTAGAATCAAGTACTCTTCGTGGATGGAAAGGCCTTCAGATGCTTTACCTAAATTGTAAATTTCATGACCTGAGGGTCTCACATTTCCCCTTGGTTTGCTATAGTTTATATAGAAAATTAAGTTTTTTAAAATTATTTGTATATTTCAAATTGTAAATAGTTCAAACCTGGTTAGAGTTATTAGTTTAAGATGACAATTTAATGAGATGCACATATTGACCTCAGCTGACCCCCTAGGGTCGATGGGCAGCCAAAATGTATCAAATTGACTGAATTTTCAAAGATGTTCTACTGTTCCTGGATGGGAGATATTTTATAGGAAAATTCAAATATTGAGTATAATTTCTTGTAATTCAAACTTGGTTAGAAGCCTTAGCGTGAGACAGCAATTAATATATACATACTTTACATTTGTATTAAGTGTACATACAATATAGTTAAAGTTATAATACAGTTTTAACAAAATCATTTCTACAACATGTTACAAGAAGCATTGTGACTCAGGTGATGGTTAAGACCCTTAAGCCCCTTGTATTATGTATACATTTTATTTTTTTACATCTTTATTGCCTAAGACACGATATTTGCCATAAAGCCTATTTAGATGTCCAGTAGGTCTTGACATCCACACATTAACTCCTTAAACAGAAAGCATTCTGTACCAGATTTAACCTGACTGATTTACTTTGTTGGATTTTATCACACCTAAGCCGTTTATCAATAATGATTTCCTTCTGATGGCAACACACGGTTTTAGTATTTGAGTAATGAGAATTATCATTTAGTAGGATTACACAGGATGCATATTGATACACCTGATTCTAGGTTTAGCTGTCCAAAGGAACCATGTTGTAGAAGCAATTTATTCTAGAGAATGGCTGTAAGGCAGGCAGTTCATGACAATGCTTTTCACGGATAATTTCTTCTGTTCATTTGTCTATCGATCAATTATTGCTTTTTTCAGAATCAATCTGAAATGTTCTCCTTACCTTGAATTAATTTTCTTTATATATACATAGCAATGACAGGTACATACTCATGCACAGATCCGTTGGTACCTTCTTATTTTAAAAAAGATAATTTAATAAATTTTTTACATACCGGTAAATGTATTTACTGTTGTACATTCATGTTCTGCTAAGTTTTCATCGTTTTGAAATTGCTTGTTTGGAAATTGATTATATGTAACTTATAAACATTATTTATCATGATATAAGTGTTAGATGAAAAATATTCAAAAGGTAAATAAATTTGAAAAAAAAAATAATAAAAAAAAAAAAACATTCATAGCTGAACATTTGGAATACTTAATTTCAGAACTGATCATTTTTTATTTGACTCGAACACTATAACTGATATTGTTCTGAACTTGTTTTTTAAATGTTTTGTGAAGTAGTGTTGCTGTACATGAGACGTTTTTTATGAGGGTTTTAAATTCAATATTAATGTGTGTTTACATTAAACTGTAATGAATTGATGGTCTCTGTGATCCTTTTTGTTACTTGACAACTGGTTATTTTTAGAAGATTCTATGGCAGCCTCCCTGGCCCAGTCGGGTGGTCATGAACTCGGATATGATGGATACCGCTGGTAAACACCATCAATAATCAATCGCAAAACAACCCTGGGGCTCATCCTCGTCATAAACTCCGACTGTTAGCCACATGAAAAATCAATATATCATATAGCCAGCGATAGTGTGGTCTCTGGAGGGAGGGTCACGTAAATCATTTTTGATCTGGATAACACATCTCCTCCAGGATAATTGCCCAGTAGCAGTCTATCGTTATCATAGTAACACAGTGTAAACCTTGTGAATTTTTATTGGAAAGAATATTAGCATCTAATCATTGTGTTCAAGTCAATTTCTGTGGATGTGAAAATGGAATACTATACCAAACAGGACACTTTGATATAGTGACCTTAAAGTTGCAGGTAATACAATAAGTATTGTGTGTTTGCTTGACCATAATGGAGACATGAATTATCCAAAAAGAAAAAAAAAACTATGAATGTCTTTTGGACAACGGAAATGAATTGACAACATTATGCAAATTTTATATCTATTGGTTAAATTTTAATTTCAGAAGTCATTGATTTTTTTTTATTTTTAACTATACTTGGTATGTGGCCTCTAGTATGCTTGTCAAAACCTTGAAAAAATGTCTCACCTGTTTGAGGTGTACATTGCAAATGATTTGGTAGTTAATGATACCTGATATTAGGCACATGTTTGTATTGTGTTGTTAGATTTAGAAACTAGTTGTGTGTGTATAATACCTACTGTCTGTTTACTATGTAGTACTACACATTATTGAATTACCTCATGCCGTCCACCACAGATTTGTGAGTGTTTATTTTTAGAACCAACAAGAACCATACCTGTTAAACTCGGGTAGAATTAATTTCTGAAAAAAATAAGAAGGAGTTAGTAAAGTTGAATAATAGAAAAATTTACTTGTGTTGTATCTGTATAGATGCGCTTGCTTGTTTTTAGTACATTGTAAAAATAAAAAGATATTAACACTGTCTGGGCCATTTCTCATACATTGTATATTTGTAATAATTAAAACATTAAGTACCTGAGTAAGGTGATGTTGATATTAAAATAAATATTTTAAAAAGGAAAGCTAAAGTTCAATGATTTGAAATGAAATTGAGGGGGAAAAAAGGAATATTGATAATACAGCTATCAGAATTTCGTTTTCAAGAAACAAATCAAACATTGATACATGGTTTAATTATTGGAAAAATTTAATAATCAACCTGATTTATTAGTGGCTAAATTTATAGTCTTGTGTGCGCACATGATAAGTATGAGAACTTATTCAGTACCATGTTTGAGACTTCTAAGTTATTTTGAATTTAAATTACACAGCCTTTTTTTTTTCTGAAGTGCTTGTATTTTCAAAATACCATATAAATTGTAAATTTTTTTTTTTTAATTTTCAGACATATTTTGTCAACATGAGTCATGTTCAGATGCAGTCGTACAGTGAAGAGGAATACGACCTCGACAAGGAACTAGATGCATTTATAGAGGAAAAAACAGAACCAGACCCTGTCATTGAAAATAAAGCAGAAAAAGATGTGAGTTACACATACCCATCGTTTTACAGACTGGTATATAAAGTCATGTTACTATCATAACATATTTAGGTTTTTAAGTGCTAGTAAACACCAATAATAATCAAAATCTTTTGTTTGATTTTTATATGAAAACATTAGGACCAAAACTTGAAAAAAAAATCATACTTTTAAAAAAAAACCTGAAATACAACCATGACAAAAATTCTGATTTTCTGCTAAAAAAAAAGCATCGTACTAGGATCTGTTAAACAATTTTGCTACACACCTGTTGTGATTAAGAATGCAGGTTTGGAGGTTAATCATGATGGGATTACCTTCCTATAGAGATCAGTCACAACTAATAGGATTTAAACATTATATTTCAAGCATAAAAAGCTTAACACTAATTTTCTATCATCTCGTAAAAAAACAAACTTGATTATAAATTGATTGATAAAAAAGAAATGAAGAAAACATATAATTATCAAAAGGCATTTTTGAAAATAGGAACTATTAAACCTGCAATTTGTTTAAGCACAGCTTTACTCGGGTCATAAAAGTGTCCGACTTTAACTTTGATGTAACACAGGTAAATCATCCAAGTAGATTAAGCTGAGATTTCCTTACTGGTATCCAGGTTTAAACATTTATTTATTTGGCATTTCATTTTTGTCACGAACAGGTTAGGCAGGATTTCTTTTTGGTTTGTGTTTGTTGTGTATTTATATCCTAGTTACCTGTGACAAGACTTACATGTTAATTGACAAAAAAAAACCAGGCATATATTACAACCCGTTTAAACATTTATACATTTACTCTTAAGGGCTTTGTTACTAATTTCACTGTGATTAGTAAATCAATAAACATTCCATATTTAGATGCAACAGAATATGCTATAATAAATTCAGTTTAATAATGAAAATATAGAATTAACTGGAAGGGGAGTGGGGGAGTTCTGGATTGTTAGAAAATGGTGATAAGTAAATTCCACATGATGGCAATTAAGTTACTTTATCATGTGTTCAGACTGTTGTTATATTCCTTTGTTCAGTATATGTCACAATCCCAAGAGCACATCCTGTGCTGCATCACTTACAGTTGACAAACTTGCTTTGTGTTAGCACAGTGTATCATATTAAAATTGGGTTGCTCAATTATTTAAGGAGTTATGGCCCTTTGTTTATAATTAACCCTTATTTTAGACCTAAGACCTGATGATCATACATATATTAGAGAAATTTGAATTTTTTTCTTAAATCAACAGATAAATGAAAAAAAAAAAGCTTTTTTCCTCCTCATTTCTTTCCTTTTTTAATTTTTTTGTGGATGTCATCCTGAAAAAGTTATATATTTATATATAATTTCATGATGTAATGATACTGGTAATGAAATTGGTTTTCAAAGTCAGACCTTGTCTATGAAACATTGATGTTTGCTGTTCCTTTTAGCTATGTATATAATGTACATGTACAAGAAGCAAGATTGATTTGATAGGTAACAATTAGATATGAAGTTCAGAACTAAGATGAATTTGTAGTACAAGAAACGGAGACTATGGTTTACTATACTGCTAGGCTGGCAACTGGAGCTAGCAGGACTCTATCAGGGCTAGTGACTGTTTGAAAAATTTACGTTGTTATAGCTTGTCAAATAGAATTTTACAAAATCCGCCTGTAAATACATAAATACTTGAAAGATGATGTTATACACTCTAACCAGAATTTATAACTTTAGAATTAAAGTTGACATATTAGTCGCTGAATTTATGATATAGTACACATTTGTTATAATTTATAAGAGTTTAAACGACCGTAGTTTAATGGTGAACTTGGTGATTTTATTGGTATTAGTCACAAATCTCTCTGGTGACTTCTTTGGGAAAAGTTTAGGATTTTTGGTATTGAATGACCAAGCTTACTGACAAGATTACTTCTACTTATACTTAATATGTTTAACCACTATCTGGTTGATTTCAATTCTTGAATTAATTGGTCACCTTTGTCGGTTTCGCCTCATCGATTTTCGGTCCTACCTGACACATTTAACCTCTCTTTGGTGTTAATAGTTACGTAGTAAACGTAGTGCTGCTAGTGTTTTAGCAACTTGTTGACTTTAATGAGTTTATAAATGAAGGTAAATTATTGGCGTGCTGGTAGATGTTTGTACAAGTCAACAGAAAAGTGTACATACTAGTACTGGGTGTTTACCGTAGATAATGGTATAGCCCTTTAACGCTTAACTTAACTCAGACAACCCCGCCAAACATCAAGTAACAGGAACCCAGGGTAGTGACCGACGCTGACAGGCGAAATATTTACGGTCTTCCATCAGGATACTGACGAATACCTTAACTATTTGCATACATGGAAACTGATAATAACTTTACAGGCTTACAAAGACACACATTATTTGTTCTGGTGTATCTCTATTTTTTTTTTCGCATCAACAAGCATGATAGAGTGTAATAAATCAAATTGTAACACAAATATAGACGCATGCTTCGTCTTGTTTGTGTACGCAATGCAGTTGTCACTGCCTAAGTCTGGTATGTGGCTGCGCTCTCTATGCATGTATAAAGGTACAAAGGGTATTTTACCTATGTAGGTGGTCAACTGTCCAATGAAAAATATACAACACACTGAATTATTGATGATGCAGAGATATGATGTGAACCACACAGCCGTACATCAATAAGACCACATCTGGTATTATAAGCCCACCAATATGTAATGCTGTCCAGTAAAATTTTTAAAAAACCCAATGTTGATCATTTTTCCTATAATAAGCCCATCCCCTGACTTTGAATTATCAAAATTAGTTATATGGCCCGACTAGATACTATCTTTATAATCAATTACCCTATAACCAATATATGACATCTTTCCATTTATGATAAGTTATCTATCTGGTTGTAAATATAAGGATATTGGTAATGTTGACACCTGTGTCCCTCCCACAAGATCAATATGTCAATAGAGGGTGTTATTTCAACACTATATTTAGCCTTTCTACAATAGATTTTGTATAAAATAGAATTTTATTGTCATGTCTGTAGGCTAGCAGGGCAATAGATTACATTGGTACCCCAATATTCACTAGGGTGTATAAACCTTTTCTTATCAACATGGAAACAGACTATTTATTTTGTAATGGTGCATTGATCATAGGTCCCAGTCAGCAAAGTTTTTAAAGTCTGACATTTTTGTGTTACCTGTTGGCATGTTAAGTATGAGACTGTTGTCTATTCAATATCATTCATAGCAAGAACCATCCCCAGTCAATAACAAGACATTTTACAAAATGTAAGATTTTTCAATATCCATTCTTATTTTCTGTTTGAGATCACCCCCATGGATGCCACATGTATGGCCTTAGGGGTCATTCTCACATGTGTGATATTAAAGGTGTCACTCAGTCACATGATCAGTCCAATCAATCGTTTCATGTAGAGGGGTAAAAGTCAGCTCTGTGTTTATGAGAATGAAGATTCGAACCATTGTGTCACAATATGTTATATTTGTCAATAAAACTTTCCTGTTATTTACATTCCCTAACCATGTTGTTTGCTTCTACAAAAATTACACAAAAATAAACATTATTGATTGTGTAATCCAGGAGTAGAATAGTTATTTAAACAGTTAAATGTTACTGTTTCTATGTCAACAGTACAAATGTTACAATGGTCACACTTTTGGTGTCAGAGTGAAAATTGTACCTTAAATCACCTCTTGGTCGTTTGTTTATTCAGCATCATTGCTGTGCTAATGTAAATATACTGAAATGTTTTTGTTGTTTTTTCTCTTGAGATGTGACATGCGATTTACAAGATTAAGTGACCATGAGAGATTGATGATACAGGTTACACTACAGTTTGAATCTAGCTTTGTCATTATTGTCTCCTTTGGATACATTTCTGTGGGAGTCATTTTCCAGCATCATCTGTATGTCTTCGACCAACATAAAGCAGCATGGCCATTACTGTTCATCAGTGTTTAATCGTGTTGTAACGGGTAGCTGGTGAAGAAATCACTTATATCTGATATTGTTCCAGTGGAATTTACAAACAAATCTTTCCCCATTCTCTTGTATTAAGCCTACATACTCCTTCAAAACTGTGGTTTGTCACAACTCCATTGTATCATGGTCTGTCTTAGATTAAATTTCAAGGGTTATCATTCAAAGTTAGAGGGGCAAAGGTCATCCTTGCTCACATTTAATTTCAAAGTACAAAATATATCATGAGCCCCTGGCCAGTTTTAGGTTATACTGAGTATTACATCAAATTCTACACATGGTTAGCTTTTGGAAGTTCAGATTACAAGTATTGTAAATGCCTTTTTCTCCATTTTGAAAAGCTGTTATCTTGACAACACATGTAAAAATAACCAAGATCTTAATATTTATACAACATACCTGTGCAATGTAGGCTAAGTCAACATGTGTGTTTACATAGATCTTGGAGGAAATGTGATTTATTGCAAGGTAAATTGTTTTCTTATGCATTTTGATGTTATACTATAGAATATCTAGATACCCAAGTAATCTTTGGTGAAACAAGTCTCGCTTATTGTACATAAACTGCCATTGATAAAATAGCAATGTGTATAGTTACCGTCACAAATTGAAAACAATTCAATTCATATATCTAATAAAAAAATGTTTCCCATTCATGCAGCACATTCTGCAAATGTGAATTATCTTTAAAGACAGATATGAATATTTACTATATAGAGTTATAGTAATATTTACTGGGATCAACTCTCATTTGTAGTAGTGATATTAACAGGAATAAACAGTCAATAGTGATATTAACAGAGATAAACTACCAGTTGTAGTGATATTAAAATTGGTGTGATATATTTTCTGAATGTTAATTTCACAGCTGGCGATATGTACATATGTCATATGTTATAAAACACTGCCTGATAGACGTCTGTGATTTAAAACCCTCGGATTGAAGGATTAGTTCATACATATGATGCAGGAATGTTATTGCTGGTTTACAGATGCCTTTTGTTACACCATACAGAGGAAAAAAAATGACTTACGTTCCATGTTAGAGAGCAATATCCTACCAATTCTTACACACACTAACACATTGTCCTGGGTTACTTATATAAATTTTACATTCCATGTAATTTTTTTGCCCATGCAGCCTGCTCTGAGGCATATCAATTTCTGATAATCTTTGAGAACAGAGTTCAAAACAACCAGAACACATCATTCTGTGAGGGATAGAGGAATTATAATTATTATTTTCATTGTACATGTTGGACCCTTTAACTATAGTTGTGGAATGTATTGAAGACTTCAACGCCCATTTGTGTTTGTATAATGACACAGGTCTGCTATAATAGGTCTAATGATCCCGTGTGATCTTTAGTCCTGTTAAAATAGACAAGTGAGAAGTCAATAGGCCATTGTATGTTTTATGTCTTAGATAAGTTGTACCATGCAACCAGCTCTGATCAACAAATATCACACAGTCAACAAGTACACTAGAAATAAATAGCCATTGACATGCAAATTTATATGTAATTATCTCCCCTGTTCCTATCGTTTTTCTTTTCAGATTTTTTTTTCACTTTTAAATTGTTCAACAAATGTTGTTTTATATCATAAATTACCACTGTTTAGTTCTAGTCCAAAATGAAATGTTCTTTTTATGTTCAGTTCAACATCAAAGAGGACATTCACATAAAGACTAATACTGCCCGTTTGATTTTATCAAATTAGAATTTGACTGACACTTGGTTGAATTTGAAGTTTTTTTTCGTTAAGTAGTTACAATCAAATTTGGAATGTTTCTGGGTTAAAGTATATATTTGTGTAGTTTAACTTGACTGTTTCTGGGTGAAAGTGTTTTTCATTAAATGGTTGCAATCTGCTCTTTTAGATTTCCTTGGTTAGTTTATTCTCCCCACAATAACACTAGAGAAAAGACAAAATTTGATTATCTTTGTCTTCAAACCTTTAGTATTTCTCTGAGAAATAAATAAACATATACAGCTTATACTGATGAATTGGAAACATCATAAGATTGATAGCAAGTTTGATTGAACCACCTATAGTGAATAGATGTGTGGAAGTCACTGAATTATTCATACAAAGGGTTTCAGCTTCACCTATTGTAAGTACCTGTTTACATTGTGTGATGTCAATCTTATAGCTATAAATCCGATTATCTCTTAAGAACATGGATGCTCGGTAATGACCATGTGACCTCTGTTGTCCAATGAAATATCAGTACGGGTGTACGTTCACAGTGTATTTGGGGAATTGTAACTTCAATAACTGTATACCTGGTCACTTGATATAAGGTTTGAATATTTCATCATCTCAGAGACTATGATGTCAGCACAGCCTTACTATGAATATTCATTGTAACATAACAAGAAAGGAAACACTGCCTTGGGGCCTTTGTGAACAGAATAAATTATCAGTTACGTTTTATTTTCTATCCCTGAAGGTCAAAGAGCCAACAAAAACAAATACCATTGCCTCAGATAGTGAGGGAGAGACAGACGAGAAGGGACAGAGAGAGACCTCCGGGGAGAAATCCACGGATGATGAGTGGGATGAACAAGAGCTGAGTGAAGATCAGAAACGTGCCATGGAGGAACTAGAGAATCTCCGTAACATGGGTAAGTCTTAAACTGAATCTCAACTCCAACACATCTCTTAACATCTCCCTGTAATGTTGGTAAGTCTGAAACTAAATCTCAACTCCAACACATCCCTTATCATATCCGTGTAACATGGGTAAGTCTGAAACTAAATCTCAACTCCAACACATCCCTTAACATATCTCCGTAACATGGGTAAGTCTAAAACTTAATCTCAACTCCAACACATCCCTTATCATATCTATGTAACGTTGGTAAGTCTGAAACTAAATCTCAACTCCAACACATCCCTTAACATATCTATGTAACATTGGTAAGTCTGAAACTTAATCTCAACTCCAACACATCTCTTACCATATTTGATAATTATTTCCTACTTTCAGCAAAAGCCTGTTGTTTTGAATCACAACCCTTTGCTCCCTAACTTTACATATCCACAGCAGTCATGATAATACGACCAAGAGTTTGTGTGCTGAAATATGTACATTAGAACCTAGTTTGTACTTAAAAATCAATATGCAATAAAAGTTACAAGTATGAAGAATTTGGCGTAGAAAGCAGATACATTATCTACTGAACAACACTCATATCAATGCTACCTGCTAGTGCCAACGTCTTTCATATACAGACATGTTATTTTTATCTCTGACAGATGATGGGCTACCAACTGAAGATCCTCCAGAGTATGATGTAACAGCTCGTGTAAAACAGCTCAATGAGGAGCTAGCCAATGATACTACGCCAACGGAAAAACGTGAATCTCGAGTTCTTTTCAAAGAAGATCTGGTGGATCTTGTGGCACCCCCTCCAGACTATGGTGAGGGGGAGGAAAATCCGCAACAGAACCAAGACAGTTCAGATAAAACAGAATCTTCAAAAAATGACTCTAATGCTGCCCGCGGTGCGAAAAGGTCAGATGACAAAGTGCTGATAGAACGGGGAGGAAATTTTGAACTTGTAAATGCTGATGAAGTGACGGCAGATGATATGGGGCTTCCCCTGTTTGACAACGACAAAGAAAATGTGAACAATAATGCCAATGGTGCTGGTAATATGAACAGTAATAATTCCTCATTTAACAGAAAACCAGCACCCCCATCTAATCCACGACCCTCCACAGCCACAGGATCTTCACGTAGGTCTGTGCGACCTGCCCAGAAACCCCGCGCCCAATCTGCAGGATCAAGAAACACACCCATTAATCATTCTTTTCCATTGAACCATGATTATAAGTCTCCATATGCCTTGTCGCCAAAGGAAAAGGAATTATTGGAACAGCAAACTAAACAGAAAGAGGAACAAAGAAGGGAGGAAGAACGTAGAAGGAAAAGAGAAGAAGAAGAAAAACAAACATATAACGAGGATTTATTCCAGTCATGGTTGACAAAAGTTAGACAGAGAGAGAGACAGAGGAGAGAAAAAGAAGAAGAAGAGATGAGGAAAAGCAAAAAGTCAGATAAGGTAAGTTTATTGTTGGAGTGAAAGTTGATGTGGTGTTTGTCTGTTGGGTGTGTTTTGTCTGGTTTTGTTCCCAGTATGAGGAGGATCCCGTTACGTGTGTCTGAAGCTGTAAATGATTAAAATTCAATTTTATCTGCTTACTAAGCCAGGGAAGCTTGAAACGTCAGCTTCCTTCCATCTCTAGTGTTTTAAAATTCACAACCACCTCAGTCACACTCAATAACAAATGCTCATGTACACAAACAATTACATACACACTACATATTGTTACATTCATTTGTGTTTGTCACGTCTCTTAGTTGACAATTTTTGTCAGTAGAATGAAAATGCAATCAGCATCTCTAATATGTTTGTTACATGTTTTTGTTTAAGTGTCAGACAAACTACCTTGTCTATATGTCTTTCTATAGCTTTATCTGTTTATAGTTTTACAACTCATGTACACAATTGTACAAAACATTGAAATACATAGAAGTCGTAGTTAGCCATACAAATACATAGAAGTCGTAGTTAGCCATACAAATACACAGAAGTCGTAGTTAGCCATACAAATACACAGAAGTCGTAGTTAGCCATACAAATACACAGAAGTCATAGTTAGCCATACAAATACATAGAAGTCGTAGTTAGCCATACAAATACACAGAAGTCGTAGTTAGCCATACAAATACACAGAAGTCGTAGTTAGCCATACAAATACACAGAAGTCGTAGTTAGCCATACAAATACACAGAAGTCGTAGTTAGCCATACAAATACACAGAAGTCGTAGTTAGCCATACAAATACACAGAAGTCATTGTTAGCCATACAAATACACAGAAGTCGTAGTTAGCCATACAAATACACAGAAGTCGTAGTTAGCCATACAAATACACAGAAGTCGTAGTTAGCCATACTAATACACAGAAGTCGTAGTTAGCCATACAAATACACAGAAGTCGTAGTTAGCCATACAAATACATAGAAGTCGTAGTTAGCCATACAAATACATAGAAGTCGTAGTTAGCCATACAAATACACAGAAGTCATTGTTAGCCATACAAATACACAGAAGTCGTAGTTAGCCATACAAATACACAGAAGTCATAGTTAGCCATACAAATACACAGAAGTCATAGTTAGCCATACAAATACATAGAAGTCGTAGTTAGCCATACAAATACATAGAAGTCATAGTTAGCCATACAAATACACAGAAGTCATAGTTAGCCATACAAATACATAGAAGTCGTAGTTAGGCTGCTAATGGTGACTGATGATTAACACAGAAATTACTAAACATGTGTATACCACAAAGTTATAAGTACGGTACATGTGTACCTAACAATACTTCAGGGTACCTGTATTGACATCTCTCCCTGAGAAATTGACTTCTAAAACACCAGATTTTAGTAACAGCTGACCAGAAACTACCATACATGAATCTAGGCTAACCTTACATAATATTAGGGCTGAAAGTGTTATTTTAATTTTATTTATAAACTGGCATCATATTTCTCAGTTAGAACCTTACTCCAGTCAATTTAGTTGACTTAAAAAAAACTTGGGCAATCAAAGTTCATCAGCTTCCTTAGGGTACTGAGTTTACTTAAAATAAAATGAAAAATCTGTAGCTTCACACAGGTAACATATCTTTACTAATTCTAAATTATTGATAAATGAAAAACAATTTTTTTTTATAATTTGCCTTTTTCTCACAGTTTTCATAATAGCAAATGTTATCTCAAGACACATCTTGTGTATATATCTATATATATATACATATTTATTTTTTGTTGTTTTGATTTTATTCACAAACTAACTACATGTACTTTGATGTGTGATGCTTGGGTTTGCATTATATGGTTGTCATGGTGATAAGTTTCAAAATTTCCTATATTTTACCACAGAGAAGCTCTAAAGATAAGCAGAAAAACACGGGCCAGGATGAATATGACGAATCACTTGATGACGAGGTAATAACAAATAGTTTGAAAATCATGGAAATTGTTTTTCCAAATTGGTGAGCTAAATGAAAAAGACATGGAAACAAAACAAATATTTAAACGGGGAAAAAAAAGGAAATTGAACGAAAGTTGAATGAATCTATGTCTTCTATGGCTATGCATTTTTTTCATGTCCTTAAAACTTGAAAATTACCCGATTTCTTTTTAAGCTATCCAAAATTTAGATATGAATTAAATTCAATCTGCTGAATGACAGAAAAGTAACACATTGAGTACCAAAATATGCTTTTATTTATTAATTACACAAGGAAACCCATCTTCTGAATTTAGTCACATGATCTTAAAGAAAAGTGGAACATGATTAGGTCATTTATCTCAGTGCGTTAGCAGTGACAGATTCAAATTCATGCAAGATTTCCTTAATTGTAATTAATATCACCTTTCATCAACTTTTATCTCTGACCTCTTGCTCAGATCCTGTCCCTTGACTTTCATGATGTAAATAAATATATATTCAAGATAATCTTATTTTTAGCACTTTTTGCAGTGAAAGTATTGCACAAAAATATGATGAAGATTATTGAAATTTCTGTATTCTGTACCTTGTTTATATAGCTAAAATTGTGGAAGCACAAAATCATGTGCTAATTTGCCAAAAACTCATAAAAAGTTAAAATTTGACAGAGTACATTTACAGTAATCTGAAAGTAAAAAATTAAAATATTGCATCCATTTATTTGTTTCATTTGTTTTGAAGTTGTTTGCTTATTCGATCAATTTAGATGATGGCTTACCTTTGCTAGGGCAAACTCAAATACTGCTTTAAACCATCATGGGTCATCAGGCTATTCTATTTGGATGCTGCAATTTGAATTTTAAATTGTAATCTGAAAATGAGATCATCACTGATGCATATTAGCCATTCTCTATTACCACACTATGTAGACACATCTTTGTGTGATTGCACTTTCTATTCACTCAAGTTTTTTTCATCTCTGGTGGTTTGATGGTATAATAACAGGTTCTATAGTAGAGACAGAAGGGGAGTGTCTTTAACCCTGTAAAGAGACAGAGTGTTGGTGTCCAGGTTGAAAAGACAGATGATGTCTTCAGACACTTTTGATGAGTTAGATTGTATAGATAGAAGGTTGGTGACCTCAGACTCTATAGACAGCAGGTTGGTGACCTCAGACTCTATAGACAGCAGGTTTGTGACCTCAGACTCTATAGACAGCAGGTTGGTGACCTCAGACTCTATAGACAGCAGGTTGGTGTCTTCAGACTACAAACAGCAGGTTGGTGACCTCAGACTTTATAGGCAAAAGGTTGGTGTCTAATTTCTTCTCTAAAGACAGCAGGTTGGTGTCTTCAGACTACAAACTGAAGGTTAGTATCGTCAGACTTTATAGACAAAAGGTTGGTGTCTAATTTCTTCTCTTGTGACATCATGGATGGTGTCTTCAGACTCCATAAACAGAAGGCTAGTGTCCAAGTTCTACTCTGCTTTACTAAGATGATGGATGGTGTCTTCAGGCTATAGACAGAAGGTTGGTGTCCAAGTTCTTCTTTAGTGATGAGACAGGTGGTGTCTTCAGACTCTATAGACAGAAGGTTGGTGTCCAAGTTCTTCTTTAGTGATAAGACAGGTGGTGTCTTCAGACTCTATAGACAGAAGGTTGGTGTCCAAGTTCTTCTTTAACTCCATAGACGGAAAGTTGGTGTCTTCAATTTCTATAGACAGAAAGAAGGTTGGTGTCCAAGTTCTTCTGTAGTGGTGAGAAAGGTGGTGTCTTCAGACTCTATGGACTGAAGGTCGGTATAAACAGACTCTATAGACAGAAGGTCGGTATAAACAGACTCTATAGATAGAAGGTCGGTATAAACAGACTCTATAGACAGAAGGTCGGTATAAACAGACTCTATAGACTGAAGGTCGGTATAAACAGACTCTATAGAATGAAGGTCGGTATAAACAGACTCTATAGACTGAAGGTCGGTATAAACAGACTCTATAGACAGAAGGTCGGTATAAACAGACTCTATAGACAGAAGGTCAGTATAAACAGACTCTATAGACTGAAGGTCGGTATAAACAGACTCTATAGACTGAAGGTCGGTATAAACAGACTCTATAGACAGAAGGTCGGTATAAACAGACTCTATAGACTGAAGGTCGGTATAAACAGACTCTATAGACAGAAGGTCGGTATAAACAGACTCTATAGACTGAAGGTCGGTATAAACAGACTCTATAGACAGAAGGTCGGTATAAACAGACTCTATAGACAGAAGGTCGGTATAAACAGACTCTATAGACTGAAGGTCGGTATAAACAGACTCTATAGACAGAAGGTCGGTATAAACAGACTCTATAGACAGAAGGTCGGTATAAACAGACTCTATAGACAGAAGGTCGGTATAAACAGACTCTATAGACTGAAGGTCGGTATAAACAGACTCTATAGACTGAAGGTCGGTATAAACAGACTCTATAGACAGAAGGTCGGTATAAACAGACTCTATAGACTGAAGGTCGGTATAAACAGACTCTATAGACAGAAGGTCGGTATAAACAGACTCTATAGACTGAAGGTCGGTATAAACAGACTCTATAGACAGAAGGTCGGTATAAACAGACTCTATAGACTGAAGGTCGGTATAAACAGACTCTATAGACAGAAGGTCGGTATAAACAGACTCTATAGACAGAAGGTCGGTATAAACAGACTCAATAGACTGAAGGTCGGTATAAACAGACTCTATAGACAGAAGGTCGGTATAACAGACTCTATAGACAGAAGGTCGGTATAAACAGACTCTATAGACAGAAGGTCGGTATAAACAGACTCTATAGACAGAAGGTCGGTATAAACAGACTCTATAGACAGAAGGTTGTTGTCTTCATACATTATTAATCCAGATGTGGACATTGTCTATTTTTACAATAAAAACAAAATTGTTGCCCCAATATTCCATCTCTACAACAGAAAATAAATCCAATTTCAGTCAGGTGGCAAATTTCCAATTGGTCAGGAAAAAAACGGATTGACGTT